CATGCTACCCTGTCTTGGAGGCAGCCAACTATGAACTTAAACCTCTACAAACTGAGCCAAAATAAACCATTCCTTCTTTAACTGTGGGTAACCAGTATTTTGTCTCAGCAATAAGAGAAGTAATTGAGAGTATTTATAAAGTAAAAATCTGATAAAAGACATATTTAGATATATTTATATTATAATTCCCATACTTATATAAGTGCACAAATAGTCAAAATGAACTGCCAGGCATACTGGATGCTTTGGGAAGAAAGTTACCAAGAAAAAAAATTATATATATATAGAAAAAATATATATATATTATATAATTTTCTATATAATATATATAGAAAAAAATAATATATATAGAAAATCTGATAAAAGACATATATATATATATATATATATATATATAAAGAACTTGCAGCAATAATGAGAAAGAAAATACAAAGATCAGTTTAAAAGTGGGCCAGAGATCTCCCCACAATAAATATAGAGGTAATAAAGAAATTCACAAAAATGCTTGCTATCACTGGTTATTAGCAAAATACAAACTAAAAGCATAATAAGATACTACCATTTCCCATTAGAACATTTAAAATTTAAAAGATCTACCATAGTAAGTGTTGGCCACAGTGGAATACCTGGAATTTTCATATACTGATGAGAAAATGTTGCAGTTTCAACCCAAATATCCTTCAAAGGGTGAATGGATAACCAAATTGTACTATCTCTCTATGATGAAATACTACTCAGTCTTAAAAAGGAATGAGATATTACTGATATATTCAACAAAATCTCATAATTATGCTGAGGGGAAGAAGTTATATCAAAAAATGTATCTACTTTATGGTTTCATTAGACAAAATACTAGAAAACACAAATTAATCTATCATGACAGAAAGCATATGAGTAGCCTGGGAATGTGAGTAAAGGAATGAATTACAAAGAATCACAAGGGTCAGGGGTAGCTCAGTGGTAGTACACACGCTTAGCACACACAAGGTCCTAGGCTTGAACCCTGGCATGAAAAAAACAAAAAGGATCATAAACTTTTAGATGCAACAGATATTTTTATTATCTTGACTGTAGTGATAATTTCATAGGTGTACAAATATGTAAAAATTCATCAAACTGTACACCTTATTCACAGCATACGTTATACTCAATTATCCCTCAAAAAAGCTTTTAAAAATATAACAACTGTTAAAGGCAAATAAATTGAGGTTAGTGAAAAAAGTCCTTCCTCATTCCATAAAGCTTTTACTGAGCCCCAACAATTCAAATTAATCCTCTCTCAGCACTTTTGTTTTGCCTATTTAGTGCTGTTATATAAATATCATCCAAACTGAAATGAGTTCCTAGGGACAATAATATAAATGGTAGCTGATGTCAATGCCTGCCCAGGCCTTTCAGAGAACCCAGAAAGACCCAGGAACTGTGTGCCCCAGTCCCAACCAATAATGATGCCCACCTGGGCCCACACTGGAGCCAGGAAGACTTAGGAATGCTGACCCTGCTGCCAGTAGATGCCAAGCATACTAGGCCAGAGCCCAAATGACATCAGTGCCTGCTCAGGCCCCACATCACAGCTAAAAGGACCTAGAAATGCAAGCTTCCCCTCCAGCTCCTCACATCTCCACAGAACAGAGCAAAAGAGAGACAACCAATAGACTGGCCTGATCAAAGAAGAGACCAACACCCAAATGGAGAGTTTTGCATCATGACTGAAGTAATACCTTACCACAGAAACTGGGTGAGAAACAGCCATGAAAGAAAGACTTAGAGATGGTGTAGCTAAATAAGGATCTCAGAATCCCCTGGAAGGAATAGGCTCAGACCAGGAAAATCATGGGGCTTGTATGTTGTTATGGGAGGCCAATATTGGTGGCATCAGAGAGGGTGGTCCTGAAAAAGGAGGCATTCCAGGGGTATATAGATCTGTGGCACTGCTGTCTACAACAAGGTCTGAATTACTATAGGTCACTAAAGGGTGGCCTGTCTTCACTAAAATCACAGTACTTTTTGTTTTGGTTTAGAGCTCTTCATGAATGGTTCTGAAGGTTTGTGATTACTCACATGATGTCTGATGCCTTTACTGTTGCTGAATTTATAACAGTAGTCAAGGTAACACAGTAGTAGTTGGAAAGTAGTTCCCTCTCTATGCCAATACCTGGATTGCCTGGAGGATCATAAATAAGACTGAAGCTTGCTTCCAATGAACAGACACTAATCCAAAGAATCTGCAAACCTCAGCACACACAAAAAATAAAAATGAAACCAGAAACATGAAAAAACAAGGTAAAAAAAGGCCTCTAAAAATTCCCAATTCCCATAAAATGGTTTAGGGGGACCTAAGGTAAGGAAATCTCAAAGTGCAGAGCAGGTAGGTCTAAAAGGGTATCAATAGAAGTAAAACAATTCAATAAGGTATTTGGTGAATTTAAGGAAGATATAACTAATCAGACAATGATCCTAATGAAACAAATGATCAGTGAGTCTAGAGAAGACATTAATAAACAGTCAGTGAAGCTAAAGAAAGATGCAAAACATAAACACCCACCATAAAAAAGAATGAGAGTAGCAGAAAAAATATGGGTAGCAGAACCAACCAATATGAAGACAGACTGTCAGACCTAAAAGAGAGGATTGTGGCCAATGATCAGTTGATGAGAATAACATTAAAAACAAGGGAGCCAGGTGGTGGTACACACTAATTCTAGGAGTTGGGACGCTGTGGCAGGAGAAGGACAACCTACGTTACATAGTGAGTTCAAGAACAGCCTGAACTGCATAGTGAAACCCTGTCTCAAAAAACAAAAGCCGAGCCTGAGTCAAGGACGTGGCTGGAGCACATTGGGGAGACCGGGCTGTGGCGGTGGTGTTGGAGACGATGTCCTTGGAAGTGACCAGGGTGGCAGCAGGCATGGTACTGGCAGAGATGTATGTGTTGGATCGAGAGGGAGATGATGCCACAGGAGATGGAACCAAGGAGAAACAGTTTAAAATAGGTCTAAAGGCTTTGATGACAGTAGGAAAAGAACCATTTCCTACCATTTACGTAGATTCACAAAAAGAAAATGAGAGGTGGGACGTTATTTCTAAATCACAAATGAAGAACATTAAAAAAATGTGGCATAGGGAACAAATGAAGACTGAATCCCAGGAGAAGAGAGAGGCAGAAGATAGTTTGCGAAGAGAAAAGAACCTAGAAGAAGCCAAGAAGATATCCATCAAAAAGGATCCAAGTCTGCCAGAGCCAAAGTGTATGAAGATTGGTGCATTAGAAGGCTATAGAGGCCGAAGAGTAAAGGTGTTTGGCTGGGTCCATAGGCTTTGTAGACAAGGAAAGAATTTAATGTTCCTGGTGTTGTGAGATGGTACAGGTTATCTTCAGTGTGTCTTGTCAGATGATTTGTGTCTGTGTTACAATGGAGTAGACTTGTCCACCGAGAGTACTGTTGCAGTTTATGAAACACTGAATCTTATCCCAAAGGGCAAGTAGGCTCCGGGGGGGCCATGAGCTGAGCTGTGACTTCTGGGAACTCATAGGCTTGGCCCTGCTGGAGGAGCTGATAACCTGATCAACAAGGAGTCTGACATTGACGTCCAGCTCAACAACAGGCACATGATGATCCGGGAGAAAACATGTCCAAAATCCTGAGAGCACGTTCTGTGATCACCACCTGCTTCCAAGAGCACTTCTTTGACAGGGGCTACTACGAAGTGACTTCTCCAACGCTGGTGCAGACGCAGGTGGAAGATGGTTCCACACTCTTTAAGCTGGACTACTTTGGGGAACAGGCATTTCTGACTCAGTCCTCTCAGTTGTACCTGGAGACCTGCCTTCCCTCGCTGGGAGACATGTTTTGTATTGCACAGTCATACAGGGCAGAACAGTCATACAGGGCAGAACAGTCCAGAACACGAAGGCACCTGGCTGGGTACACTCACGTGGAAGCAGAGTGCCCTTTCCTGACCTTTGAGGACCTCCTGAACTGGTTGTAAGACTTGGTTTGTGACGTTGTAGATAGAGTCTTAAAGTCACCAGCAGGAAGCACGGTGTCTGACCTCAATCCGAACTTCAAGCCCCCCAAATGGCCTTTCAAAAGGATGAACTACACAGATGCTACTGTGTGGCTGAAAGAACATGACGTACAGAAAGAAGATGGGACTTTCTATGAGTTTGGAGAGGATATCCCAGAAGCTCCTGAGAGACTGATGACAGACACCATTAATGAACCAATCTTGCTGTGTCGATTTCCGGTAGAGATCAAGTCCTTCTATATGCAGCGATGTCCTGAGGAGCCCCGTCTTACTGAATCAGTGGACGTGTTGATGCCCAATGTTGGTGAGATCGTGGGAGGCTCCATGCGTATCTGGGACAGTGAAGAAATTCTGGCAGCTTGTAAAAGGGAAGGCATTGATCGCACTCCCTACTACTGGTACACAGATCAGAGAAAATATGGTACATGCCTTCACGGAGGATATGGCCTGGGCTTGGAACGATTCCTGACTTGGCTCCTGAACAGATATCACATCCGAGATGTGTGCTTGTACCCTTGGTTTGTCCAGCGCTGCAAGCCATAGTTGGTTTCTCTCAAGTGTGCAGGAAAGAATACGATTCATGAAAAGAACAGATTGCTTCTTTAAAAGAAAAAAAGACAAAAGCCAAAATTTTCTCTTTATTGTTCTCTTAGAGTGTATCTGTTTCTGTCTTATCTCTTTGTTCCCACTTTGATAAAAGGAGTGTACATTACTGGAACATCAGGTAATGTTGATATCATTATAAGAGAAATTATATGTTACAAAATTTGGAAATATGTGGCAGAGAACTCAGAAGTTATAGGTACATTTCAGCATTTTATCCAGTTATATGATATAATCATTATGTTTAACATACTACACATTATTAAACGTCATACATAATTAAATAGTTGTCAGTTATGGTCTGAACCAATCAGGTAACTTAATCTTTCTGACCCATTAAGTGTAACTATGTTTCTTTTAGTTTTTAACATTTTATTGTATCTAGTTAAAATAAACATCTTGAGTAATTGGCAAATATGGCATAACAGTTTGCTAGTATTAGAACAACTCAACAGTGCACATAACTGGTTTCTAATGAATACAGTCTTTTTGAATCAGTTACTAATCCAGTTTCAATTGTGTAGCTCTGTTTAATACTGAAGCCTACAAATTGATTCAGCAGAACTTGTAGAAACAAAATTTCTTTAAACTTTGGCATAAGCATAATTTGATGTGGAGGCCTATTGTGACGATTCTCAGAGTCTCTCAGCATTCGTTTAAGGTAAAGAGGCAGACTGACCTTCTCTCCTTCTGGTGAGGTATTAGTAATTAAAAATAATTAACAGCCAAATGTATTTGCAGGTTGAATTCTTAATGACTTGTGCAGGGCTGCATGAGTCATTTTCATTACCTTAGGTCTGACCTATGCTACCTAATAAACTCATCACAGGCTTATTGAGTGTCTTCAGCATAAATATGGTTAATTTCTCCCCCAAATGCATGCTGTGTATTCTCCATGGACTGTATCCCCAGCAATCCATAAATGAACACAGTGATTTAAAAAAAAGCCAACCAAGAAAGGAACACAAAATATGGATCCAACAGCTCCTAGATGACTCAAAGAGGATTACAATAAAAATAATAGTAATTAGTAAAAAACCAGAAGATAGCACAAAGGATATATATATATATATATATATATATATATATATATATATTTTTTTTTTTTTTGGTCCTTTTCGTTTTTATCGGTATCAGGAATCGAACTCACAACTGCCTGCTTGCAAGGCAAGTGCTTATGCCGCTGAGCTAAATCCCCAGCCCCTTACAAAGGATATTTTTTAAAAAGCTGTTCACAAAAGTAATAGCAGAAAATTTTCCAGACATGGAAAAAGAATTTAACACAGAGAACCAATGGAAAGTCATGACTTTCAAACCAATATTTCAAAATGTTCTTAAGGATATGCTAAAAGGAGTCAATTAAGCTAACAACGCCAAAAGGTCCAATAAAATGAATATATCAGGCAGAGCTTGCAATTAAGTAGATGAGAAGAAACACAAAATAGCAACAGGAAATTAATGCAATGACAGGAATAACTTAATACCTATCAATCATACTTATCAATGTAAATGAACTGAAAGCATCAATCAGAAGACACAGATTAGCAGAATGGATCAAGAAACAAAATCCAACATTATGTCACATACAAGAAATGCATTCAACACAAAACTAAATTCAGAGACTAAAAATCAGAGGATGAAAAACAACATTCCATGCAATAGGAACTCAGAAACAGGCAGAAGTAGATATCCTTATTTTCAGACAAAGTGGATTTTAAGCCAAAGCTGATCAAAAGTGGCAAAGAAGGATATTACTTATTGGTTATCAGAACTATTGAACAGGAAGAGATAATAATTACAAACATATATACATTGAGCCACAGTGCATCTAACTTCATAAAACAAACTCTAATGGATATAAAAGATCAGAGGAACATCCATATGATTATGGTACAGGATCTCAATACCCCACTATCATAAATAACAACTATTTCAACTAAGAAATATCAGAGTTGAACCAAATCTCTGAATATGTGTAGTTAATATACATATATATATATATAAAATGTTCTCTTCAACAAAAACAAAATATGCCTTTTGGTCACACACAGTTCTTCCTCCAAAATAAACCACATACTAGCTAGTAAGAATACTTATCCAACTGCAAAAAAATTGAAATTCTACTATGCATATTGTCAAGTCTCAGTTCAACGAAACTTTAATTCAATAGCAAAAGAAACCACAGAAAGTATGCAAACAAAATGGAAATTTAAAAAACATACAATTGAATAATCAATGGGTCAGATAATCTTAAGTTTTTTTAACAATTAAGATAGTTCCTAGAATTAAGTGATAATACCAGTAGAACATATTAGAATGCATGGAGCACAGTGAAAGCAGTCCTATAAGAGAAAGAACGAGAGAGAATATATATATATAAAGAGAGAGACAGCACAAAATAGAAGAGGATAAATACAAAGTAGATAGGGGTTCACACATTTACTCAAATTACATAATCCGTTGTTTCAGAAGTATTTTAATACAGTATCTTTTATACACAAACTCAAATGTGACCATTTTTTCCAAAATTATGGAAAATTAAGCTCATGAACCAAGGTTCTACTCTAGTTTATATTAGTTTATTTAAAAGTAAGCTAGTGTTATTATGTGTTTCTTTTTTGTAAGAATCTTCTTGGTTCGGACAGAGAGAAAAAAATGGCAGCTTGCTAGGAAGCTAGATAGAGAACCTCTCCAGGGAAAAGAGGCCACATGCTAGAATCTGACAAGATGGAGAGGGCCAGACGATTGGAGAATGATTCTCACTAATCCATGAGGAAAGGAAAAATAAAATCAGGAAGAGGAAGGAAAAGCCTGAGTGGAGGCCTGAAGCCCAACATACTCACTGAGACCCATTCCGCACTGTGCTGGGAGTGTCATGGAGTCGGACAATTCAAGGTTGTGCTGAAGCTGGGGCTGCCGATAAAGGGAGTTGGTGAGTCCTGGGCCCTTGGTGGGAGGACGTGGCACAGTGTGGAATGGAGCCAAGGTAGAGAGCTTTATTGGCTCTTGGTGAGTGCTGGAAATTGGGTCCCATGGCATGCGTGGCTCACTGGAAGACATCTTGGAGTAGGGCAGAGCCCGGTGCTGTGGTGGCATCAGTCAACAACCCCTTGCTCAGAGAGGACCGGTGGGAGCAGCTTGGGCTGAACCACGCCACTGGTTGGGAACCAATAGGCAGGGACGAAACTGTTCCAACCCTGTGACTTCTGCCACAGCACAGTGTAAACTGCTGAATTTACTTGCAGATTGACTGGCTCAGAGGGGACGGGCCAGTCCACAGTGTCCCTGCATGCCACCTCAGATATCAGCAAAGTGGAGAGAGCAGCAAGCCCCCAGCCAGCATGCTTTAGAAAAACTGTAAGGAATACAGAGAAGGCCTGAGACCTCCTCCACACACCTGTCTGAAAGAAACCAGAAACATGACAAGAGCAAAGGATAAGACAAAACTTTCAGCTGCTGACCCTGGGAAAATAAGCCCAGGAGAGGTAAATACAGAAGAGAACCAGCCCAGCAACCATGCAATGTTAGCCACAACATCAGCAGACATAAATACATTCGTGACTTCATAGATGAATTTGAAACTGAAATTCAAACTCAAGTGAGGCAAGAAATAAAAAGGTTAATTAAAGAAATGCTAAGCCCCTCTCAAGAAAACACAGAGGGAAAAAGGGAGGAACCCAGAAAAGGAAGAGAAACCTTTGGTAAAGAATATAAACAAAATCTAGAATACATGAAACAGATCCAAAGAGACTACCAGAAAACTAAAAACTCCATTGAAAGCTGGCAAAATGCCTTGACAGAAACAAAAGCTAGCCTTTTGAAACTTGAAGAAAGATTTACAATGTGTAATCATGAAGGAAAAGACCTATTAAAAATAACAAGGAACCAATAAGCAACAATCCAAAGGCTAGAAGATGACAAGAAGATCTATAACTTAAGAATAAAAAATATATTCCGGGAGAACATGGCGGACAGATAACAGAAACTACCGGAGGCTCTCTGAAAGACTTGGCTCAGAAGCCAGGAATGGTGCGGACTAAGGAGACATAAGCAGGTGGAGATATGCTCTGCTGACTCAGGAACGAACTGGGCTGAGAGAAACCAACTTGGAATGCAGTCCTGGTGCTAAAACAGATACAGAAAAGCCTTGGTGTGCAGGCTGGACCCCGCGCCATTGTAAGCCGCGATTTGGGTTTCCCGCCGTGCGGTGGCTGGCTGCCTCTACAGTGGCTCGGCAAGGAGAGAGACACGCAGAAGCTCTGAGAACGGCAATCTGCAAACGGCAGGGAGGCGTGCACTGACTTGTGGTGAGGTAGGTGAGAGAAACTGACACTCTACCACAGTTTGACTCCAGCAGTGGACTTTCTGGGCCCGAGCAGTCCTGCGGGAGCACGGCGCTGTGGCGACTCCAGCCACACATCCCCCTCTCGGGCGGGATTGGTAAAAAGTGCCTGGCCTGCGTGACGCTGCCGGCGGACCTGGTAGGCTGTCCCAACCCAGATCCCAAAGCCTGACAGTGGCCGGGAGGGGAGACGCGTAGGCTGCCTGGTCCGTAACTCCCTGGTGCGCAGCGGTGAGCGGGAACACCTAACTGGCACAATTCGATCAGGCTGTGGCTGACTGGGAGAGAAGCTGGGCCTCTTATATAAGCTTGCATATATAAGGAACAGAGAAGAAGAGGCAGCATGGGAAAAGGCAGCAACAAGAAAGGCTCCTCGGCCCCCAATTCTGAGAAACAGGCAATAGCAGACACCGCACCAATATACATAAGGCACCATATAGAGAGCCTCATAGACCAATTCAGGAATGAAGTTATCAACGACCTGAAGCTAGAAGTAGGCAGAATAGTTAGAGAAATGCTAAGTACCACCCAAGAAAAAACAGGTGGTGGAATGGAAGAACAGAAAAAAAGGGGAGAATTGTTTGATGGAGAAAACAGAGAAAGCATAGAATACGTGAAGCAGGTTCAAAGGGACTACCAAGATACTAAGAAGTCTATAGAAGACTGGCATAACAGCTTGAAAGAAACTAAGGACAGACTATCTGAACTGGAGGGCAGACTTGTAATATGGGAGAATGAAATGAAAAACTTCTTAAAAATAACAAAGAAACAAACAGCAATAATACAAAGACAAGATGATAAGAGGATCCATAACTTAAGGATTAAGAACATAAAAGAAGAAGTAGGGACACAAACAAGTGAACTACAAAAGCTACTCACAGAAATAATCCAGGAGAATTTTCCTAATTTAGCAAAAGGTAAAGATACTCAGATGTATGAGGCATACAGGACCCCAGCTACCTACAACCCAAACAGAGCAACACCCAGGCATATAATAATAAAAATTCCAGAAATTCAATACAAGAACAGAATATTAAAAGCTGTAAGAGACAAGAAACAGACCACTTACAAGGGAATACCCATCAGAATTACAGCAGATTTCTCTGCACAAACCATCAAATCACGAAGAGCGTGGGGTGAAATAATTCAAGCTTTGAAAGATAATAATCTCCAGCCAAAATTGAGATATCCTGCACAACTGTCCCTGGAAATTGATGGAAAAACAAGGTGCTTCCAGGATAAAGAGGAACTGGGGGAATTTGCAACCACCAATTCAACTCTAAAGAGAGTATTGCAGGATATTCTAAAAAAAGAAAAATACAAAGAATCCAGAAATAATAGCAGAGAGGCCACAACGAATGGAGCAGAGAACAAAATGAAGAAGACAAACTGACAGCTACTGACAGAAAAAGAGCTCAACAGAAATGAGGCAGAGAAGATTGGATGATAGGAACAGCTATTTTGGAGAAAATGACATCTTAATAGGTAATACTGATTTAGTATCATCTTGTTTTGAAGTCTCATCTAGCTTTTGTCCTTCTGTCTCCAATGGTCTAAATAGGCTGTATCTTATTGGATTTTATTATGTACGGATAGTATAAGCAAAAACCTTTTAAAGACAAGGAGATTATACAGAAACCATTGTTCATTTTCTGTTAGTCGATTCTAAATACTCTGTAATGCTGTCATTCTCTTGAATGGTTTTACATTGTTTTGATATACTTAATGCTACAGTATACGAAGTTGTACTCAAGGATTTCAAAGAAAGAGACAATATGGTAACTACTTTTAGGTTAGGATTATCTGGTGGTGAAACACTATTCTGCTTAAATGGATATGTTTTGTTCTGCGCTGTTTCGTTGTTATGCCCTCTTTTATCTCAATCTCCACTCCATTATTTACTTTTTTATCTTTATCCTTTTAATTAAAGGAAAAAAATAGCAGGATATATTATAGTAACCCACTTTGACTTTTCATTACCTTGATTTAAAGCCCTGTATTACTCTCACCATCTGGGTTTTAACTGATGTTCCCCTATTCTGTTTTGTTGGATAGTATCAGGTTCGAAAGTTTAGGCATCAGCTGTAAAGATAATGAGATTCATTATGACGCCCATTCTTGTTGACTTTTATCTACTTTTGAAGACCTACAATGTCTCCAATGTTTTGGTTTTGTCAGTTTTATTCTTTACTGTTTTGTTCAATTGTATTATAACTAACGATATAGGCAATTCTATTAGAGATAGCGGGAGGCATTATGGTAACCATTGTTGATCACCTTGTATTATGTTTTTACATTATCTATTATGTCCACCCTTTTGACTTGACCGATTCTGTTCTGTTATGTCACATTTGGTTTTACTCTCTTCCAAAAAAGTAATAAGAACCGTGGGAGCAATAAAACCCAAAATGTGTAATAGTCATGGTACAAAAGAGAGGAAAAGAAAGTGCTCCAAACTATATAACTGCATGTATATTTAAGTGTATAAGATAGAAAATGATATCACAGAGTTTTATTGGATCAATGAACAGAACTGTTTGCAGTATCATTGATGGAATGTCCACTTTACAAGCTTTAATTTTGTGACTTGAACAATTATTTCTAAGATGACAAGATGTAATCCATTAACTAGTGATTTCCTACTGTTCATTTTTTTTCTGTAAATCTGTATAACTTGTACCCTTTCCCTGCTTTTTTTTCTTTTCTCCTTAAATAAAATTAAAAAAAAAAGAATAAAAAATATAAGCAAAGAAGCAGGAGTGACCACAAACGAATTACAAAGAATTACAGAAATAATTAAGGAAAATTTCCCAAGCATAGGAAAAAGAAATGATATTCAAATAAATGAGGCAAACAGAACTCCAGCCAACTACAACTAAAACAGATCTACACCCAGACATATAATCAAGATTCCAGAAATCCACCACAAGAACACAATATTAAAAGCAGTCAGAGAAAAGAAGCAGATCACCTACAAAGGACAAATCATCAAAATAATGACAGACTTATCAACACAAACTATTAAATCGAGAAAAGCCTGGGGGGAAACAGTCCAATCCCTGAAAGAAAATAACCTCCAAACAAGACTGATGTACCCTGAAAATCTCTCTCTCAAAATTAATGGAGAAACAAGATGTTCCCAAGACCATAAGGACTGTGGGAGTTCATGGCCACCAACCCAACCCTACAGAAAATACTAAAGGATATTCTCGAGAGAGAGGGGAAAAAAATATCAGGATTCCAGCAACAGTGGCAGAGAGGAGGAGGACAAGTGGAACAAGGAGGACAGTGGAATGAAGGAGAAAAATGGACAAATAATAGCAGAAAAATAAAATAACAGAGTTGAGGCAGAGAAGGTGGGTTATAATTTTTAACATACATAGCCTAGATACACTAACAAAAAGAAACATAGGCAGAATAGATTAGGAAGCAGGATCCATCGAGATGCTCTGAATAGGAAATATACTCAACCTGAAAGAAGGTTAATAAACTTAAAGTCAAAGACAAGAAAACGAAGCTCTAAGTGACAGGGAACCAGAGAGAAATAGGAACGACTCGTCCAGCAGCCGCACGTAGGTTGGAAAGTTATGACACTTTCGTGTAGTGTAGAACTACACAGCTAGAAGGAATAAAAACCTTGTGGCTTTAGTAAGTAAAGGAGTACAGCTCAAGATCAAGCTCAGGGCTAAAAAGTTCAGCACCACCAAGATAGATAACAGGTTGCCCCTTAATCTAAAAACTAAAGGAGTTAGTGGGACCCAAAATATACAAAGCATCTGGAGAAAGCGAAAGGTGAGGAACTGCCTAAAAAAGGCAGAGGACATTGTTAATAGTGTATCAGGATTTAAAAGCCACAGTAGTCTTATCACTCTGCTTAATTTGATTTTATTTTGTTCCTGTCAGTCTACTCATACTAGATTTGTGGGCACAGATAGCTATCCCCAAAATAGCAGGCTATACCATGCTAACTATCCTTAATTTCCTACTAACTGAAACTGAAGCCTTGTATTACCTACATTGTCTTACTATGACTGATCTTATTTGAAGCTGGTTTGTTAAACTGCTGTTTTGCCTGGACTGATTTTATTCGAATTTGGTATGTTCGATAGTATCAAGTCTAAGAGTAGAGGCAACCATTCTGAAGATGACAAGATGTAATAACACAGTCATTCCGATTTGATTATTAACTGCTTTCGAAGTCCTACAATGTCTCCAAAGTTGTATGTTTATTAACATAGCTATGTAATGCTATGTTCAATTATTATATGTCTGATGATGTGGACAACTCTATTGAAAATAACAAGAGAAAGAATAGTAACTACTGTAGATCACCTAATATTCTAATATTGTGATTTTATATGTCTTTTTCATTTCATATTTTTCTAAGAATTTGTTTTTTTGTTTTGTTATGATCTGTTTTTCCCTATAATACAGAAAGGATAGATATACATGTAGTGATTCACACATGGGGAGAATTTGTAAACAGCTTACGGAACAGATTATATAATGCATGATGTAATGAACAGATACTCTGAAGAAGAAACACTAAGAAACCCAGTGCTAATTCTGTTACATTATGATATAAAATCTAGCAAAACTATTATTCACAGTTCAGAGTGATATTAGTCTAGTCTCATGTTCAATTTCAGCGTACGTAAAGATAAGGACAGCTACTATGAAGAGAATGAGGGACATTATGGCAGTCACTATTGACTTCCCCAATATCAGGTCTTGAAGACCTAAAAAGCCTTCATCATCCTGCTCTGATTAGATTAGTTCTATAATGTTCAGTATGTATTCAATGTGTGTGAAGATGGGGACAACTATTTGGCAGAAAACTAGAGACAATAAGATAGACAGGAAAGATCTCCAGTGGACTTGCTTTGAAATCAGTGTTTCTTAAAATTGTTTCCTTATGATCTGTTTTGTTCTGTTTTGGTATGTTTAATCTTACCCTCTTTAAAGATATGGCAATTCTTTTGAAGATAGCAAGAGGCTTTATAGTAGCCATTGTTGACCACCTTGTATTTTGTTTTTACATAATATACTATTGTCTATTCTTGTTTTAATTGATTGCATTTTGTTTTGTTACCTTTGGCTTTATTCTCTTCAAACAAAGTAATAAGAACTGTAGGAGTAATAATACCTAAAATGTGTAACTGTTATTATAAAAAAAGAGAGGAAAAGAAAGTGCTCTAAAGGATATAACTGCATGTATGTTTAAGTGTGTAAGATAGATAAGTATATTACTAAGTTTTTGTTGGATCATTGAACAGAACTGTTTGCAGTCTCACTGTTTGAATGTCCACTTTGTATGCTTTAATTTTGTAACTGGAATAGTGACTTCTAAGATGACAATATGAAATCTATCAACTAGTGATTTCTTACTATTTGTTTTTTTTGAAATTCTGTATTACTTCTACCCTTTTTTCTGTTTTGCTTTTTTTTCTCTTTAAATAAAATTCTTTAAAAAAAAAAAAAAAAAAGAATCTTTTTGGTTTGTTTTGTGCCCTGAGAAACTGCTTTGAAGATAATGATACAAAGTTTTAATTACTGTTATACTCATTATTTTGTTATGCAATTTTGTTTTTATTTTTATAAAATAGAAAGTATTCATTTTTATATAACCGCTATTGCCTGCAAAATAACCCAGATACAGTGGTTAATGAAAAATAACATGGGGGATGCCCTACATTTACTTCAATAGATTTGTTGAAGTTTTAAAAAGTAACAGGGTAGATGTTACTTGTCGGTTGTCTTACTTTCTTCTTCACTGAGAGAATACACAACACCCACAGCTGTAAGAAGGAAAGGTGCACTCTAGCTCATGGTTTGTCGAGGTTTCAGCCCATTGTTAGGAGGCTCCAAAGCAAGGTGGCATAGGAGTGGAGAAATGTCACAACCATGGGAAGCAGAAAGAGATCAAGAGAGGAAGGAGGAAAATAGTCTTCCAGGCTAACCCCCAGTGATCCACCTCTTCCAACCAGGCTTTACGTCCCAAATCACATTTAGCTATAAACTCATCAGTGGATTAGTTCACTGACAATCATCATGCCCCGATAATCCAATCGGCTCCAAAGAGCACCCCTAAGGCCACATGAGGCTTTGTGGGGACATTCATATATAAACCACAATAATACTTTCTAATTAAGTAAAAACATTCCCAAATATTAATCTCAGAATACATAGGACCTAAAAATCAACACAAGTAATTAAAGGGGAAAAATTTTTTTTCAGTTAGCATGTAGAACCAACCTACCCAGCATGACTTGTTTTCCAACATTGTCCAACTCAGGTCATCAAATTAATATACTTAGCATCCCACAAACTCCAGTTTCAGTCTCACACAGGCCTTTGCCTGATATTCTTCCTTGTTTCAATGTTATCAATATTCTTTTCTAGCCAAACTGTATCTTAGGGTGATCATCATGATGGTGTTGGCAATTATCTAAAAATAGCTATCTATTAAGCACTTATTCACAAAGCATAGTGGTAAAATAAATGTTTGTATTTGAGGTGTATTTGTGTGGTATACCTACATATATGAAAATATAATTGTATCCAAACTTCTCTGCATCTTGGCAAATGAATATCATCTGTATTTTCATTTGGTTTAGAAAGGCTGCACAAGGATTTAAATTTTAATGCGCTTCTAAAACCAATGAAAATCGTATCATTTCATTCCTTTTGCTTAAGACCTAACTTACACCTTACATCTACCAAACAGCCTTTTCTAATTACACTGACCCTGATATTATTCCCTTTCCTAAGCATCCACATACTTTTATGTAAATTAGTTTTTAAAGTATCATCTTTACTAGATGTGAGCAACTAAAATGTAAATATAATTTCTTATTCAGGTGTGAATACTGTTCCTAATGTCTACTACTATGCCTACCACATTTTATGTGCCTCAAAATGCTCACTGAACTGAAATGAATTGAGTTTTGCATTATAGAATCATGCAGTCATTCATTATCTTTTTAGTTGGTAGAAAAATTCCTTCTACAGAAGTTCTGACACATTTATTCAGAATCAACTAGAATACTTGTATGACAGGAAATTTACTACTTTACAAGCCTATTTTAAAAAATCAACATTATTAAAACGCCATGGGACTTCTTAAAGTAACTGGAATAAGATCTGCCTGCTGGTTCAACTCTTTAGAGCAATGTAAAATAGGCCTACTCTCCAAATATGTCAAGAACAAATGACAATCAATTTGAAAGTGATTCTAAAATAGCTGAATATAATGCAACAACAAAGAGTTTCAAAATATTTGTGAAGGAAAAATACTTGTAAAACTATACTTAATGCAATAAAGAGATTAAAGAAACTTTGGTTATCTCACATAACTGACTTCAAATATAATATTGAATGAAAAAACATAAAAACATACAGGAAGGCTTCATTAATAAAGGAAAACTATAAGCAATGCCTTACAAATACGTAAGTAAGTTGTATTAGGAGGTTTACTAGAGTGATAGCAATGTTTTATTTCTTTATCCAGTTGATGTATACATACTTGTTCAATTTATACACTTTAGGATGGCCTAGGACTCACTACATAGCTCAGGCTGGCCTCAGGCTGGCGTTAGCTTTGCATGCTGGGATCACAAGCGTGTGTCATCATGCCGGGCTATACATAAAATTTTTAAAACCCACAAATACAAAGTTAAGCAAGTCCTCAATACTTTGAGAGCATTTTGTCTTGGCAACCACTGAGAAGTTGCTAAATGGTCTACGTAGGAGTTGGATATGATCAGCAATGCATCTTGGAAGAAAGACTGATAGTACACTGAAGTAGAATGGAAATGACACTGAAATCAGGGAAGCCTCGGAGAGGCAGTTGATCATCTGAGACAGATGTTATAGTTGATACACAGTGTTAATGTGACACGTTTTGAAGTTTAACTAAGAGAATTAACAAGGAGTCAGGATCCTTACTTTGTAAATATCTTCATCCCTGTGCAAGAGGGCACAGAGATTTTGAGAGTGTTATATCTGCCTGGGGGACCTGCTAGAGGGTGGGGTGGTGGTGGCTTTCATACAATGCAAGGGAAGAAAAGAGGCTTACTTTTCTTTCCTTTAGCTCTGGCTTTTGTTGGCTGCTCCCCTGAAGTGTTGCCCCAGTGCTATGTCACCCTGCCTTGGAACCAGCTGATTATGAACTGAAACCTCCACAGGTAGCTAAATAAACCACTCCTTATTTCAATTTGGGTGTTATTTACTTTGTCCTAGCAAGTAGAGAAAAGTCTAGATAAAGTTTAGATAACAGTCTAACATGAAGTGGCAGGAGTGAGGATGGAACAAAGTGGTACAGATAAGCATAAATTGAAGGTTTAAAAAATAAAAAAACAAAATACAAGTACATACAGAGGGTAAGTGCAATGTAGTCAAGAATGATGCAAAAGAAGCTTAAATACCTTGTGGCATCTTTCATTTGAGAAAGATGAAGTGTAATAAAACACAAAATAAAGCACTGATAGAAGGAAGTAGGGAGACACTGTAAATCTTTTACAACTAGAAAGGAATCCACGAGATGTACAGCCAGGTGGGGAGTTAGAGAGGAAAGAGAAGTCCAAACTTTAAAATGTGTCATGTCCATGTAAACAACCCAGTGAACGTAAACATGTTTGAAAAGGTGAATTAAAAATAATAATGAAAATGAGTAAAGGAAATCTAAAGATAGAGGGAGAGGGATGGATGGAGAATAGAATGGATATAAAAATAATCTAGATGTGTTAGATATATGTACTTACTTGTTTAAATGAGTATAAATTTCATATATTATAAACCTGCACTAATAAAAAAAGAATGATGTGTAGGTGTGTGGCTTGAATGTCTGGGAGGATAACAGTGGCACTAACTAAAAGAGAAAAATACAGGAAAAAAAGGATTGTGGATATTTTTCATCACTACATATTGGGGGTAACAACTATATCCCTGATACTATAGCAGGCGCTGAAGGGAGGGCAGTGACACCCAGACACCACAGACTGTCTAGTGACAGTGAAAAAGTATTTATCCAAAAAGGTAGTTAGATATCTGAATCTGAACTTAGAGTATGGACAAGTTAGCAACATAAACTTTTAATTTAGTCAGTACTTGGAATAACTAGCATTAAAAGGGATTCCTGATATACCTAATTAAATTCCACAGAGTTCTGATTTCAGACAGGTAGCAAAAGGATCTATAATCTACATGGATTTCTAAAACATTTAAAAGACTGAATTCCTCTTATTACAATGGGTTAAATGATCACACATTTACAGTGCCCATACCTTAGATACAGTTTCTGCTATACACTGATTTCAATGCTGCCATCTTATGTTAAAATACAGAACTACAGAAACCAGGGAGCTGAGGTGCTGCCAGGTGAGTTCCAGGACACCAATGCAGGCCTGGGGAGAGTTTAAGATCATCGCTGCCAGCAGTTAAGTGCCTGCCCAGCTTCCAGCTACACTAGAATAGGCTTTGAAGGTTTCGCGGCCTAACTGGCCCATCCCCAGCGAACTTTTTTCAACCAGGGGAGCTAAGGCCTCACGAGGTGAGTTCTAGCACACCAATGTGGGCCTAGGGAGAGTTTCCAATCATCGCTGCCAGCATATAAGTGCCCAACCAGCATCCAGCCACACTAGACTAGGCTCAGCAGGTTTTGCGGGTCTAACCAGGCCATGCCCAGTGACCTCCTCTCAATCCAGGGAGCTGAGGCTGTGCGAGGTAAGTTCCAGCACACGGGCACTAGCCCAGGGAGAGCTTTGGACCATCACCCACAATGGTTAGTAGCCCACCCAGGTTGTTAGAACACTGAAGGTGGCACGGGAGGTCCTGAGGGCCTCACTGGACCACGTTCAACAACCTCCATTCAGTCCCAGGAGCCAAGGGCATAGGAGGCGATTTCCAGCATTCCCAGAAGCAGCTTTGCAACACTGCTGGAAACACAGAAATACAGGAAAATGACAAAAGACCAAAATGTAATCTCAAACCTGCAGCCCATCCCAAGAAACCCTAGGAGCATGTACATAGAAGAAAATATAAGCCATACAAATGAAATACCTGATATAATAGCAACTGAAATAAAGAAGCAACTCCAGGAAGCTACAAAGGAGTTCAAATTAGAAATAATCTACCAGGTAAAAAGAAGAAATGATAAAAGTAATGAAAGAGATGCTGAACACAGCTAAAGAAGACACAGTTAAAAAATTAGAAGAACAATGCAAAAAAACAGATTCCTTGAATGAACAATATAAGAAACAAACAGAATACACGAAGCAGGGTCAAAGAGATATACAAGAAATCAAAAATTTCATTGTAAGTTCTCAACACCGCATCAACGAAAGTGAAGATAGAATTTCAGACCTTAAAGACAAGATTGTAGCTAGTGAACAAGAAAGGAAAGATCTTTTAAAAATAAGGAATCTGGGAAATAACAATTCAATAGCTATAAGATGATGCAAAGAGAAACAATATAAGATAGGGATAAATGAAAAAGAAGGGGACAACACAAAGGACATCAAGAGGATATCTAGAGAAGTAATAGCTAAAAATTTCCCAAACATGAGCATGGAAGCTGACATGCAGATTACTGAAGCATATAGAATTCCAAATAGCCATAACCAAATTAAAACTACACCCAGACATATAATAATCACCATTCCTGAAATCAAACGTAAGATCAGAATATTAAAAGCTCTTAGAGAGAAAAGACAGATCACTATAAAGAAAAACCTCTCAGAATCACAGCAGACTTCTCAACACAATGAAGCCAAGAAGAGCATGGAGCGAAGTATTTCAGATACTAAAGGAAAACAACTTCCAACCCAGACTATATACCCTGAAAAACTATCCCTCAAAATGGATGGAAAAATAAGATACCTCTATGACAACAACAGCTGAAGAACTTCATGACTCCAAACCAACCCTGCAAAGAATACTGAAAGACAATGTACATACACATAGGAAAAAACCACTAAGCAAGGCAGACAATTAAACAGAATGGAAAAGTAAAGATACAACAGCAGAAAGAGAAGATGTCAACAATAAACCTATATATAACAGTCATAACCATTAATGTAAATGGTTTCAATTCACGAATTAAAAGAAACAGACTGGCAGAATGGATCAAAAAACAACAGTCAACCATATGCTGTCTACAAGAAGCCCATCTAACCCAAAAGTAAACTCATAGACTGAAAATCAAAGGATGGAAAAATCCTTCATGCAACGGGAACACACAAAAAAGCAGGGTAGCTATTGTGATTGCAGACAATGTGAACTTCAAACCAAGAATGATCCCAAGAGAAAAGGTCACTACATACTAGTTAGGGTAAAACTTCAAGAGGAAGAGATAACAATCTTAAATATATATGCACCAAATTCCATAACAACTAGCTATACAAAGCAAGTACTAACAGAAATGAAAGAGCAAATAAGCAGTAACACAATTATTAACAAGAGACCTTAACACACCATTGACACAAAGGGACAGATCAACCAGAAGAAAAATCAGCAGAGAAATAACAGAACTGAATCACACCTGTGAACAAATGGAACTGATAGACATATACAGAGTGTTCCAACCAACAGCATCAGAATATACATTGTTCTCAGCAGTACACAGGAAATTCTCTAAAATAGAGCATATAGTAGCCCACAGATCATATTTAAGTAAATGAAAAAGAACTGAAGTTACTCATGCATGTTATTGGATCATAGTGCCATGAAACTAGAAATTAAGGAAAAAAGAAACTGCAAAAACCCCACAAACACATGGAAATTGAATAATATACTCTTGTGCAGTCAGTGGGTCACAGGGGAAATTAAACCATACCTACAAGCAAACGAAAATACAAATACAACTTACTAGAGTCTGTGAAATGCATCAAAAGCAGTCCTCAGAAGAAAATTTATTGCACTGAGTTCCCACATCAGGAAAACAGAATGAACACAAATAAGCAAACTGATGCTATACTTCAAATATCTAGAAAAAGAAGAGCAAGTCAAGTGCAAAGCCAAAAGAAGGGAGAAAATTATAAAAATCAGAGCAGAAATTAATGCAATACACACAATCCAAAGAATGAAAGAATCAAAGAGTCAGTTCTTTGAAAGAATAAAATTGATAAGCCTATAGCCAACCTTATTAGAAAAAGGAAAGAAAATGCTCAAATTTATGCAATAAGGAATGAAAAAGGTGCAATCACTACACACTCTGTGGAAATACAGAAGATCATCAACACCTGTTTCAAAAACCTCTACTCTCATAGGTTTGATAACACAGAAAAAAATGGACAGATTCCTAGAAACACATGAACTACCAAAACTGCGTCTAGAAAATGTAAAACTGCTGAATAACCCAATTTCTATCAATGAAATTGAAAGTGTAATTAAGTCCTTACCTACAAAGAAAAGCCCAGGCCTAGACAGATTCACTGTGGAATTCTACAAGAAATACAAAGAAGACTAAATGCCAACACTTCTCAACTCTTCAATGAAATCAAAAGGGAAGCAATTCTTCCTAAGTCATTCCTGAAAGCAAGTATTAGGCTAGTACCAAAAACTGAGAAAGACCCAACTAAAAAGAGAACAACAGGCTAATCTCCCTAATGAATACAGATGTAAAAATTCTCAATAAAATATTGGCAAATAGGATGCAGCAAATCATCAAGAAGATTATACATCATGACCAAGTGAGATTCATCCCAGGCATGCAGGGATGGTTCAACATATGCAAATCAATAAATGTAATCCACCATATCAATAGAACCAAAATTAAGAATCACATGATCATTTCTATAGATGCAGAAAAAGCTTTTGATAAAGTCCAACACTCATTCTTGATAAGACCCTTACAGAAAATTGGAATAGATGGCCTTTACCTCAATATGATAAAGGCCATCTATGACAAATCAACAGCCAGCATCATATTAAAAGGGCAAAAACTGAAAGCCTTTACCTTAAAACCAGGCACAAGACAAGGATGTCCCTTATTTTCGCTCTTATTCAACATAGTACTGGAAAGACTAGCCAAGTAATTAGACAAGAGAGACAAATAAAAGGGGTAAAGATAGGAAAACAGGAAGTTAAATTATCATTATTTGCAGATGACATGATACTGTACAAGAAGATCCCCAAAACACCATTGAAAGACTCCTACATCTAATAAATAAATTCAGCAATATAGCTGAATACAAAGTAAATACTAAAAAATCAATAGCATTCCTATACACTAACCATAAATTCACTGAGAGAGAAATGAGAGAAGCCACACCCTTCACACTAGCATCCAAAAAATGAAATACTTAGGAATTAATCTCACGAAAGTAAAAGATCTATACAGGGAAAATTACAATACCCCGAAAAAAGAAATTGAAGACGACCTCAGAAAATGGAAATCCCTTGTTCATGAATAGGAGGAATAAATATTGTGGAAATGGCCATTCTCCCAAAACTGTTATACAGATTCAATGCAATCCCAATGAAAATACCACTAAGATACTTCATAGATCAAGAGAAATCACTCCTAAAACTCATCTGGAACCAGAAGAGACCTAGAATAGCAAACGCAATTGTAAGTAGCAAAGGCAAGGCAGGAAGCATCATAATCTCTGACTTGAAGTTATACTACAAAGCTACTGTAATGAAATCAACATGGCACTAGAATACAAACAGATTTGAAGATTAGTGGAATAGATTAGAAGATACAACAACACTACAAACACACCCAACCACCTTATCTTTGATAAAGGGGCCAAACCTATTCACTGGAAGAAAGATAGTCTCTTTAATGGTGTTGAGAAAACTGGCTCTCCATACGCTGAAAACTAAAGCTAGACCCATGCCTATCATCATGTACTAAACTAAAATCTAAATGGATCAAAGATCTGAATATTAAAACAGAAACACTAAATCTGTTGGAAGACAAATTAGGTAAAAATCTTGAAGACATAGGGGTAGATAGAGAATTCATGAACAGGAATCAAAGCGCACAGGAAAAAATTCCAAGAATCAATAACTGGGATCATGCCTTATCAAAGAGTTTCTGCAAGTGGAAAGAAATCTCCAGCATAGTGAAAAGAAAACACACAAACTGGGAAAAAAATCTTAGTGAACTGTCCCTCAGACAAAGGACTTCTGTATAAAACATATAAAGAATTTAAAAAAATCAGAACCCCAAAATTCAAAGACCCAATCCAAAAATGGGAACACACAGAATACACAGATGAATACACAGTTGTCAGATGAAAAAATACAAATGACATATGAAAAAATGTTCACCATCATTAGGCATTAGAGAAATGCAAATCAAAACAACACTGAGATTCCATCTCACTCCAGGAAGAATGGCCAAGTTAAAGAAAACTACCAACAACAAATGCTGGAGAGGCTGTGGGGGAAAAAGGAACTCTCCTGCATTGTTGGTGGGAGTGTAGACTGGTGCAACCACTATGGAGGTCAGTCTGGAAAGTCCTCATAAACCAGGGATTGGAAGTCCCATTTGACCCAGCTAATCCACTTCTGGGCATATTCCCAGAACTGAAAACATCATACCACAGTGATATATGTGCACCCATGTTTATAGCAGCACCACTTGTAGTAGGCAGATATGGAAACAACCTAAGTTGTTCCATCAACTGAGGAATGGATAAAAAGTTGTGGTATTTTTATACAATGGAATACTACTCAGCTATAAAGAGTGATCACATTGAGTTATTTATAAATAAATGGATGCAACTTGAGATCATACTCATAAGCAAAATAAATCAAACTCACATGTATAAGTACCGTATAGTCTCCCTAGCATTGCTTACATTGTTCTGTTCTGATGTGCTTTGTTCTGTCCTCTTTTATCTTAATCTCTTTAAAATAAAATTAAATTAAAAATTTATAAAAAGAGATCTTAGTAACATGTGACATGTGTTTGATGCTTGATATATTCCAAGAAATCATCTTGTTTAATTTTTATTACAAATCTCTCATATAAAAGCCATTATTGCCAAAAAAAGAACTACCAATCTTAAAAACCATAACCTTATTCTACTATAAAATCTGAATATATCAAAAAGTTGAAATTAAGAGCTTATGAAAATATAGAAAAAGGATTAACACTGAGAATTATTTAATGACAAAAACTTACTTATTGGGGCTGGGGATTTAGCTCAGCGGCATAAGTGCCTGCCTTGCAAGCAGGCAGTCGTGAGTTCAATCCCTGGTACCAATAAAAACAAAAAAGACAAAAAAAAAAAATTTACTTATTACTTATAACAACTAATTTTGTATTTGGAAATATTCCTGAAAAAACAGAAGATTTTGCGTACAATCTGCAATAAAAATTTTACTTTGAGAAAACAAGAAGTACCTATTTGTATTTCCTCAATCAAAACAGATAAAATTGTATTAAAGAACAGGAGAAGAAAAAATTTAAAAATGCAGATACCTTATTTCTTCAATAAATTCAAACTGCTTCTCTAATATTAGCTGCTCAAACAGCAATAACTGCTTAAATTTGTTTAGATAGCATATTTATTTGTTTTAAATTTAATAGCAAATTTATTGGTTTAGAGAAGGAAAATAAATGTCAAGATCCTAATGAATTCTGAATTTAGAGAGGTGGTTATATTTAACCAAAATATTAACCCATAGCAACATTATTTGTAATCATCTATTTTTTCATGAAATAAAATCACGTTATTAAGACAATTGTGGAAACATATTCAATGGCATTAAGGAATCTCTCTGAATTAATGTAAATATAAAAAGATGACCTATGTACATAATACCACACCAAAGTGGGTGAGGGAAGGGCAAAGAAGGCAAAAAAGTAGCCTGGTAACTCTAGAATTAAGAGGAAGTCATTTCCTCAGACAAGGTGATAGACTATTGGCTACACACATACCCAACATCCACTCACACATGTATAGTCTGTCTCTTATTTATAAACTCTAAGTCAGAATATGAACAGAATTTTTAAAAATTATATAAAAAGGTTAATGCTTTAACAGAGCAGAGAAATACAAAGATAAAATTACTCTATTAAAATCCTATTATCCTATCACATGGCTTACAACTCCTGCACAATGTTGATTGTGGTATATGATATGTGGAAACTATATTTTCCATCCAATTTTCCTGTGAACATAAAACTGCTTAAGGTCCTTTTCGGAAGGGAAAGTTTCTGGGAGGCCAAACCTAGGGGTACACTACCACTAAGCTATATTCTCAGCCTTAGTTGACATAGGGTCTTGCTAAGTTGCCCAAGCTGGCCTCAAACTTGCCTCCTTCCTCAACTTCTTGAGTAGATGGAATTATAAGTGTGTGCCACCATGCCTGGCTTGATGATTCTTCATTTTAGTCAATCTAGGGAATAGATTACTGGTATTTTTTGTGTGTATGTGGCTTTACTGTCTACTGACAGCAAATATCTTTTCATGTGTTTATTTGCCATCCATTTTTTTTCTATTTAGTGCTGGGACCGAACCCAGGATCTCATAAATGCTGAAAATGCACTCTACCAGTGAGCCACACTCACAGCATTCTCGTACTTTGAAAAAACAGGATTCTTTCCCTTTCCTTTTTTAGTGACCTCTAATTCTCTGTATATCCTGCATTCAAATCCTTACTTGTATATGTGTGTTTTATAAATATTTTCTCTCTAGGTCTATGGTTTGTCTTTTCATTTTCTAAATGGTGTTTTTGAAGTAAAAGGTTTATAATTTTGATCAAATCTATTTTATCAATTTTTGTTAACACACTTCTGATGTTGTATGTAAGAAATCCTAACCTAATTCAAGGTCATGAATATTTATCCTTAGGCTTTCTGAGAATTTTATAGTTTTAGTTTTTCATTCATTGCGCCTCTATTTCCCTTCAGAAATTTTATGGCTTTACATTTCATATTTAAATCTGGACCGACTTTTGTATACAGTATGAAAATGGGTCCAAGTATCTATTTTTAATCATGGATATCCAGTTGCTGCAGTATCATCTGTTAAAAAGATTATCCTTTTCCCCATTGCACTGCCTTGGCACCTTCTGTTGGAAGTAGTTTACCAAACACATCTTTCTATGTTCTTCCATGTCTTTTCATCAAACCTGTTCACAAGAGATTGGTTTCAGGGACCCCCACAGATACCAAAAAATCTCTGGATGATCAAGCATGTTATATAAAATGATGTAATATTCACACATATAACCTACATATATCCTCCCATATATTTTATCTTTAGGTAGTACTTATATTATCCAATACAATGTAAATAGAGACTAGTAACAAGAAAACAGTGTCTACCCATGTTCAGCACAGATGCAATTTTCTTCCAAAAATTTCAGATCGATAGTTCCTTGAATCCATGGGCAGGGAACCCATGAATATGGATGGCCAAATGTATATCTGAGTTTATTTCATAACTTTATCCTATGCAATTGGTCTATTCTGACCATAGCTTTCCAGGAAGGTTTAAAAGCAGGTATTATATGTCCCTTTGTTCTTTTTCAAAACTGTTCTATCTTTTCTAAGTTCTTTAAATTTCTACATAAATTTTTTCTTTTTCTTTCTTTTTTTTTAAACTGGGAATCAAACTCAGACCTTGTGCTTGCCAAGCAGGCACTTGTGTCACTGAGCTACATCCCCTGCCCAACATCTCAATTCCTACAAAGAAATTTATTAGCATTTTGATAAAACTGCATTCAATGTAGACATTATTATAGTCTTCTAATCATAAAAATGGTTTTTTTGATTTTGAGGTCACCTAAATTTTTCGCTATAATGTTTTAAATAGGTTTTTTGTGCCCAGAAATAGTTATTTTAAAACACTAGTGATACAGTTTTAAACTAAGTTTTAAATCTAGAGTTAAATCATAATACCAAGTCTTACAAAAGTTAATTCATTCTTTGTGAAAACAGAAACTACTCACTAACAAAAGGTGATGGTATAAATTGCCATATATTCATATTATTGAATATTGTAATAAAAACTACTGTTGTATGCAATAATATAACAAATATAATCTCAATGCTGTTTGGGAAAAAAACGTCTTAGACAACATAAACAACACAATTTGCAGCAAAACTAATATATCAACAGTATCGATTATGTATTATATTTTTAGTAGTACAGCCTATTTTAAAAAATCATCTAATAAAATATTTTCCAGAAACTTAACAGCAATTCACAATGCACTTCAAAATTTTAAAAAAAGCTTTACCTTTGCTTCTGTTCAACTGCTTTGTCCAAGTGTTGAAAGATATCTTGAAATAGAGTACAGCTTGATCGACTATTAATGGTATATCCATAGCTTCTTTTCCAATATTGTTTGAGGTCATTTAAATATTCTAATACCTAAAAATAAAATTTTTTTAAAAACTTGTAATAATTTTTCCTAAATGTAACTGAATTCCTAATTTAGTAATAATTCTCAGAAAAGGATACAATGTTTAACTCTCGTTCTGTACAAAATACAGTAGAATCTTAACATTCAGAGTTTATATTTGTCATATCATGCACTTAAAAGTTAGTTTTGATGTCCAAGACACACAGTGATTTCTACTGCATGACAAAGTTGAATGAGGAAAACATCAAACTTGAGAGCAAGAGCAAGTAAATCAGTTTTCACAGCTAATAATCCATCATCTGTGACAGTTCAGGGGAGTGAGTGAAGGACATGTACTTACCCCCAACTTCTAAAATTTTATTAAAATGATAGCAAAGACAGACACATGAAAAAAGACATACAGAAGAATATTCATTATAGCACAGAAAAATACTAAACAGGATCAGGAATTTTAAAGAATTTTTAAGGTGAAAAAACTTCTAGAGAGTAGATACGGTAACACACCCTTATGATCCCAGTATTCAAGAAGCTGAGGTAGGAGGATCAATAGTTCCAGGCCAACCTTGGCAACAGCAAGACCCTACTCAGGAGGTCTTCTACTCCCATAGAAACTAAGTAAAATTCCCAATAACAAAAGGTACAAAATAAATATAAAGAAAGATTCAGAAATAAAACAAAGTATTACAAAGGAAAAGGTAATTGAGGATTTTTAAAAATCTCTTATATACACTATTAAATATCATATCAGAAAGATTTAAAAATGTAAATATAACAGATGATTTTTCTAGTAAAGTGTAAGTTACCCAAACTGACTCACAAAAATTTGAATATACTACACAAAAATAAGATTGAGTCAGCAGGCAAGGTAGCAACAGTCCTGTAATTCCACCACTCTGGGAGGTTACGGCAGGAGGATCACAAGTTTGAGCTCAGCCTGGAAAAATTGTCCAACTCAGAAAGATGCTGTCCTAAAAATTTTTTAAAAAGGGCTAGAGATGTACCTCAATGCAAAGGCCCCATATTCAATCCAGTACCACAAAAACAATAGGATAAAACAATACAGTCAAGGATATACACAGAAAATGAGTTTTTTAAATCCTAAAATAAATATGCCAGACTCTGCAAATCTAAATGACATGGGTAACTTTTATAGGAAAATTCTATTACCAAAACTCATCCTAGAAGAGGCAGAATATCTAAATTTACTATTACACTAGAAGATACAGACAAAGTTACCAAACAGGCTATCCTATAGGAAAATACCCAACTCATTCAGCATTTCCTTTGTAAAACTTTTCCCAGCTGCCACTAATCCAATTTTTTCTAATGCATATTATACCTTATATATTCTTCTTTTATAGCTATCTCATTATGATACAATGACTTATAAAAATGTCTTTCATCCCCTATGGACCTATCTTATTAGTATCTTCTTTCCTAAGTAAGTACCCAGCATAGAACAGGCACTCAAAATGTTTGCTAAATGAAGGCACATTTCCCAACACTTCACAGTCTTAGATAAATCACAACTCTCAGAATTTCACAAATGTCTGTTCCTTTTTAATTTTTAAAGCATTTTAATGGAAAAATTCAAAGATATAAAAAACATAGAACAGTACACGAACCCATGTATAATCATCACCCAACATCAATAATCAATATTTGGTCAATCTAGTTTCAACTATACTCCTACTACTGCCACTGAATTATGTTCAAGTACATCCCAGACATCATTTTTAATTTAATCTGTAAATACTTGAGAATGTAAACCTGTTACACAGTGTAACTCCTAAGCATGGACAGATATATTATTTTCTATCAATCACTGAAAAAACGAAAAAAAATGATAATTACAGAAAATACCTAAGTCAAAATAGAACTTCATATAATTAAGTGAAAACTTTAATTCTTTTTTGTATATAAAAGAAACTTATCTAACTAATACAATAAATATGTATTTAAAATTTTCAAGTCATAATCATTTCAACAACTCTTATTTACAGCAAAAAAAAAAAAAAAAAAAAAGATACTGCCACCATAGACAAAAATCTGTTAGGCAACACTTTAATCGAATAAAAAATATCATCATCAATAATGTGACCAATATTGTCCCTTCTGATTTGATGCACTGAGAAGGACTTATCATTTATGAGAAATTCTTATCAACATGTTTAATCTAAACCTGGTGTGGTGGCACATTATCTGTAAGGTAGCAAACGCCTGCAATTCCAGTATTCTGGAAGTCTGGGACAGGAAGATCCCAAATTCAAGCCCAGCATAAGCAATTTAGACACTTAGTGAGATCCTGTCTCAAAATTAAAATGGCTGGGGATGCAGCTCAATATGAAAACTCTGAGTCCAATCCCAGAGATTGCCAGAAAAGGTTTTTACTTTACTCCAAATCTAATCATAAGTAAAAAAAAAAAAAAAGGTACATCCAAAGACATATTGCAAAACAAACAGTGTAAACTCTTTTATAATGCCAATATATAAATGTATAAAACATACAATGTATACAATGTATAAAACATAAACAATGTATAATGCTATAGCACTTTTCTAGATTAAAGGAGACTAAACAGATATTATAACCAAATATCATGGGTAAGTCTTGATTAGATTCTGAATTGTTAAAAAAAAATGGATGAATGGATGGATTAAAACACATGCAAAAAACTGAAAAATGTATTTGGTAATTATATACTATACAGATGTGTATATATATAAAGCATAGTGTATTATGGTTATGTAGGAGAATATTCTTTTTTTTTTCTGACAAAGTAACACATTTTAAGGAGAATATTCTTGTTTAGATGCATAACCAAGTATTTAAGGGTAAAGTACTCTGACACATGAAATAAAGATCATATGTACGTGGTAAACAAAACAAACGGTGCCCCTCTGATATCTATAAACTAATCTCTAGCTATCCTATGAATATGTTAACTTACATGATAACACATGTTGATGTGACTAATTTAAGGAACTAGAGATAGGGAAATTATCCTGGACTATTTGAAGTCCAACATAATTCCAAGAATTTTAATAAAATGAAGGCAGAAATGACATTAAGAGTTGGAGCTGTAACAATGAAAGCAGAGTCTGGAGTCACACAGAAAATACAAGCAGTCCCTGAAGACTGGGAAAGGCAAAATACAGATTTTCCCCTAGAGTCTCTGAAAGAATACAGCTCCACTGATATCTTGATGAACCCTGCAAAACTCATTTTTGACCTCCAGGACTGCAAGATAATAAACTTTTGCTATGATGAGCCACAAAGTTTGTGCTAATTTGTTACAGCAGCAATGAGAAATTAATATATTATACAGAGAGATAAAGCAAGTGTGTCCAAAAAAGTGAACATCTGGTAAACACATTCCTACCTTCACTGTACTGTTCTTACAACCTGTCAGTCAAAAATTTTTCTAAACAAATTAGTGGGAAGGGTGTTTAAGCAATAAAGAGACAAAAAAAAAAAAATCCTAAAAAGACGGGAAAAAAGGTCAGTATAAGAATTGTAAGAGTGCTCCTGAGTTACCTACTAGTTTCATCATTTAACAGATGTAAGAATCAAGGCATAGAAAGATTTTACTTTAACCCAAATCTTGACATTAGGGTTTTACTGTGAATTAGTAGAGAAGATGCATGAAAAGAAAGAGTTAAATGTTTGAAAGAAAAAGGCTTTAAATAAGGGAAATGGAGGGAAATACAAATAGGTGAGTAGAGGGTGATTAAGATCTGTACTTTCACTGCAGGGAAGAAGCTTGCACTTAAACCAGGAGTTGTCAATCTTTAGAAATGAAGGACCACATTGAACTCAGAACAAAAAAAGGGCACACATCCAGATGAATCACATCCCAACTATTCCTACAACCAGAGTAGCATTCTATTAAAGGTAAATTCCTCTTTTGCCAATAGCTATCATTTATAAAACATTGAACATCATTTTATTTCTCCCTCTCCAAGCAATCTGCAAATGAAAAAGGTATTTTGACACATGAATGATGACTGTGTCAGTTTATACCTTTATTAGCTTATATTTAATAGTGCTCCTTTCACAAAAAAGTGTCTCGGTATAGCTAACAAATTGCATAGCCACCCAAAGTATAGGGCATGTCAAAAGAGGGTAGAGCAAGAACTTCCTGAAGTGATAAGGTTTGAACAGAGGAGGCAGTAGGTGATTGGGACAGAGAAAAAGTTATCAGGGGCAATACAAGAGCACAGAAGGGAAATACTTACATATTACTAGAGCTCAGCTCCTACAGCAATCATCCACTGAGAGTAGAAAGAATAATTTGTATTATACTGACTCCACCACCTTCCAGCAGTAGAAGTTCATGTTGGGTTAAACAGATTTTTAACTAGGAAGATCCTGATACCAAGTTATTAAAAAGAAAATGTAGTGTTTTAAGCATCCAAACTATTTATAAATAGGTAGGACCTATTTGAACATTAATCTCTTCATTTAAGAAAAATTAGGCATTAATCAGAAGATAGTTTTGGATCTCACAAAGCTAAAAAAAAAGAAGATAGTTTATGTTTCCTTTTCTTAAAAGCTCTGTGAATACCCCACCAAAAAAAAAAAAAGAAGAAACTGTCAAAGTAATACATACCTTTGCATCATCTACGTCAAAAACATCACACCAAGGGGATTTAACACCTCTAATTGCCAAGTCAAATGAACAGGTAAAAAAAGCTACCTGAATTAAATCTGAAAAAAAAAAAAGGTAAGATATTGTGAGTTATTAGTTTCTATAATTTTTCAAAAGCTAAATATATGAGAAAACTATTTGTAGGATAGCTAAAAAAAATACTGAATTTACTTAGTTTGGAAAGAGACTAATTTTTTTTCTCCCTATCAAAGAATGAGTAATTGCTCTCTACAATCAAAAAAAATTATCAAAACGAAACCAGGAGGGGGTATAGATTTCAGTACAATTCAGTAAATCTTAACTTCTTTCATCTTTTAAAACTAAACACCTGTCAAGAGCATGTTTGCCTGGCAAGACACAAAAAAGTTAACACAAGAACCTACTATGTTTTTTTAAAAATCAAAAATAAAACTGCAGTTAATTTTGTTAACTTTAGAGGGCTAGACAAAAAAAGAGCTAACATTTAAAGGTTTTGGTCCCCAACGTGAAAACTGAAACAATAAAGTACTTTAATTGAACAGTATTTTAAACTACATAACAGTTCACATTATAACCAGTAAGACAGACAGGAAAGAGTGTGAAGAGGCTGGAGAGAGGTAAGAGTCTAGGGAAGGAGAAAGAAAAATCACAAAGAGAGCATGAAAAGGTGGTAATAGCATCAAGTTTTCAAACCCAGCTGCTAAATTTCAAAAGTAGATTTCAGAATAAATTATCTAGCAATTTTATACCTATAATTCACTAATTACTTTTAAATACACATATGTATTAAAGGAAGAAATAAAGAAATGGGTGTGTAGGTTACAAAAAGTAACTTTTGTCAGTACCTAATAAAAACATTGCTCTCTAATCAAGAAGTGGGTGACATCTAAAGCCAGGGAGAGAAAAGAATAGCAGCTGTAGGGGTTGCTTCCATTACTTTCAGATTTCTTTAATTTTCCTGAAAAAACAGGGCCAAAAATTAATTGATGCTACAAAGAAAGAGAGACAGAGAGAGAGAGAGAGAGAGACAGAGAGACAGAGACAGAAACAGAGATTGGTTAAATATTAAAAACTTTTACTGAATAGTTCCTGTGCCAGGTACTGTGTGAAATATTTTTCATCAATTAATCTCACATCAGTTTGTAATCATCTTCTGAGGCAAGTATACTTGCTATACCTATTTTACAGAGAAGAAAACTTTGACATAGAGATATTATGAATTCGCCTCAAATGACAGTTTCTGAAAATAGAGTAAAAATTCAGGAACAATCAGTCAAACTTCAAAACCTATGATTTCAACCATTTATGCTTATATTGTCTCCAAAAAGAAGTTTCGGTTATTCTACTACTAAAAACAAAAATAATCCTTGGTGATTCAGAGACTAAAGGCATTTTTTAAAAAGTTCTTCAACAACATAAATAACCACTAACAGAATAATGGCTACATATCAAGAAATTCTGTATGTCAGTTTAAAATGTAAACTAGGCTGTAAAATGTAGACTAGGCTGAAGGTATAGGTCAGTGACAAAGTTCTTTCCTAGCATCCTGAAGGCCTGGGTTCAGCCCTCTGTTCTATGAAATAAATAAATACATAAATAAACAAAATATAAGACCAGAATTACAAACATAAAAAAGAAAACAAAATCAAACATACACTTTGATACTTAAAAATTCTTAAAAATTAAACAATACATTAAGCAATATTCTATTTAGGTACAGAAACATAAAAATCCTGCATGGGATTAAATACTTAATTAACAACAATGATTAAACTCTGGAGAACAAAAGAAAAGACCGAGTTCAAGGAAAAGTCTCACTAGACGTCAATGTATTTAAAGCAACTATTGGCCAGGCGTGGTGGCTCACGCCTGTAATCCCAGCACTTGGTAGGTTGAGGCAGGAGGATTGTTGCAAGTTCCAGACCAGCCTGGGCTACAAAATGAGTTCAAGGCCAGCCTGAACTGCATAGAGACCCTGTCTTAAAAAGATCAAAAAAAAAAAAGCAACTATCAGAAGCATAATTTTAAAATTTGATCAAACTAAGTTGTACATATACAGTGTTCATTATATTAATTTTTATTCTTATCTACATATTTAAATTATTTCCCAATAAAATAATTCTTAAAGCTCCATAGCTGACCCAAATATTTAGCTGGTAGTAGAAAAGAGGAAAAAAAAAAACTTCAATTTGTAATACTAGTCTAGTTATCTTTTTTTTTTCAGCATCTTTTATGCATAAAACGTCAAAAAACTTTGCTTTCCATTTTCTAACTCAACATACACATTATTATGTACTACTGAACTGTTTCAAAAGCTAAAGAATTTACTCAACTTTTCTATTTGCATCATTTTATGGAGAGATAATTTAGAACAATTTTTATTTCTAAGTAATGTTTAGAGTTGAGGTTTTTATACTTCTACCTTCAAAAAATTTCAATATATGCCAAGAATCTTGTATATTGTTTTCCATAAGACTCAAAGAAGAACATAAATCTAAAAACAGCAAGCACTGTGTATATAATTTTCTAACCTCCCAAATACATTATTTTCTTAATGTAAATTCAAATGTAGGCTTTTTATTATTTTTTTGGCTATACTGATGATTGAACCCAGGATTTTTGCACTGAGTTAAACTCAAGCCCACTTATTTATTTATTATTTTGTGACAGAGTCTCATTAAATTGCTCAGGCTGGGTTCAAACTTGTAACCTTCTTTACCTTACCCTACCAGAGTTCTGGGGTTAATTGTGGACCTTTAAAAAGAATAACTATATGTTCTTTAATTTTTCATTTTCACAGCTCAAAATTATTTACGCCAAAGATCAAATGAAGATAAGAGACATGTTACCTGCATTTAAGTCATTTACTGGCACTTGCAAAGTATCTGCAACTTTTTTTAAAGTGTTCTGCATTTCTGGTCCAGTTTTGAAGGCTTCCACATGATAAAGAGCTGTTGCATTCCTTTCCACTTCAGTTAAAAACTTCTCACAGTGATCAAAGAACCTCATTAGTTTGTCATTAACTCTTGGAGGTCCACACTCCATATCTGAAAAGAATTACATTTGTAAATTATGTATGTAAATCACTGACAATAAAAGACAATTTCAAGTTACTGAAAAATTGTTTCAAATGTGAAAAAGGAGCTCTAGTGAACCATGAGTTAACACATCTGAAATAACACATACTGATCAGAAAGACAAAGGGTAAAACTACTCCACATTTATAATGATCATAATGCATGAAAGGACACTAAAAAAGATCAAAAAACCAGAAAGCATTGAAATGGTGCATTAAAGCAATACTAGACAATGAAATAAAAGTAAATAAAATAAATGTTTTCTTATGGTAAAAAAATAATTAGGGAAATTATAAAAACTGCAAAACTAACCATGTTATACATCTACTGGTTTGTCAGGCACAGAAAACTTCAGAAAGCAAACTAAAAATTAGCAACGTGTGTAGGTACAAAGAAAAAATTAAGCTGTTTCTTTACTCTAAGCTAGAATCTCAGAATATCTCAGTTTCCAAACCTGTGTCACTTTACAAAAGATTGTGATTTGAGCAAAAACTACCAACAATAACACAAAACAATCATTTCAGGTTTTACTGTGCTTGCTTCACTGTGGTAGGTGCTTCAGATTTGGTTTAGCTACCAACTGAGCTCCCAAATAACTTTAGAATTTATTAAGTTCCATTACTTTCTATACATACATGTACTAAAAAAAAATTTGTAATCATGCTTCAACTATTAGGGTGCCTTTTTAATTTCTTTCAGTCATATTTAAAACATCTCCAATAGTTCATCTTGAAAAGACCAGAAATCATTTCTGTACATAAAATATTAGAATCGTTATAACATTTTGCTTTGGATGTGTGTGTAAATATACACATAGATGTACAAATGTTTCCTGATACAGATACAGATAATTTTGCCCATTTTATGCAGTTACAGTTGTTAGGAAAACATCTTGACTAGGGAGAAAAAAAGGAAAGTTTGTTGTCTTTTTCTGAGGCCTCAAAACAGAATTTCTCATTGGCTCTGGATAGTCAACCCTTGTTATTATGTGTTACTGCTGCTCTTTAAACAGAAACAAAGGCCTTGTTCTGTTGTATAAAAACACAAAATCTAATTCAGTAGTCTCCTGTAAAAGCCCAGATGTACGAAACAGGCAAAACAATTGTCTACAGATGATGACAAAGTGGCTAGGCAAAGGGTTTAATCTCTGAGACTGAAAATGATGGGGTTAGGGGATGGCAGGGAAGAGTTTATTCTGAACTGTTTTGATCCCTGGCTTTATCCTGAACTATTTTGATCCCTGTCTTTGTACTCTGAGGCAAATGACAATGCAATCTGAGGACCAAAAGTCTTTCATTCTAGGTCACATATACTATATAGCATATGCTGTGCTATTTTAAAATATGTTGTGCTGTTGACCATCAGTTAATTTAAAAGACTGATGGGATATTTTCACCCAAGATATCTGAAAAATAGAAAGTCTACCTATAATTTAAAAACGCAAGTCAACAAGTAGTTACACAGAAGTCAGCCAACCAAGTTATGCACAAAGCAGAAACAAGATAACATGATCAACTGAGACATCCCTTGCTGGTTTGAGTGCTACAGAAGAAATGACAACCTAGACTACTTTTAATGTTTTGTTTTTCAGTTGGGCTGTGTGAGTAAATGATGTTCTTCCTTCTTTTAACCTTGACACTGAAAGAAACTGTTAACTCTTACTCATCTCCTTGGCACATTCTTACATATCTCTATTCTCATCAAATGTTACAGGACAAATAATGGTTAGGAGAACAAGGTCTGTATTGAATTTCTCATGTCCATACTAGCTGTAAGAAAATTAGAAAATTATTTGGTATTTCTGAATTTCAATTTCCTCATCTGTGATAAAAGAGAGAAAAATCCTACTAACTTCCAAGAGCAGCTGCAATATTTTCATAAAGTAAATGTGAGGCAAGCCTGGCATATAATAGATGCTGAGTGCTTGCTATCATTATCTGTAACCATTAAAACATTTTTGAAGGAAGCATCATTCTGGAAAAAGAGAAGGACTGGATTCTGGGCCTAACTAGTCCTTAAAATAGAGGACAACAGAAATGGCATAATGGGCTCAGCTTGTTCACTTATGAAATAAAAAGGATCCCACTGGAGATCCTTGAAAAACTTGAAAAGAAATCATTAAAAGAATAAATTGGTAAGATATCACATATGACCATGGACCACAGCGACAATGAAACCCGACAGTAAATACAAGAAGAAAACAAAGAGAAGAGGGCATATGAAAGGGTTCAGAGCAGCTTCCTAAAAGTCTAGAGCCAATACCTAGAAAAGATGATGAGGAAAAACCAAAAACAAACAAAACGAGTATCAGAAGCAATGCTTGCAGAAGACAGTTCTGGAGTATAATTTTAAAAAGTGTTCCCAAAGCTGGATGTTCGAGGCTAGCTTAAATTGTGCTCAACTTCTTTCCTCAATGACATTGTGATGTCTTTAAATATTCTTCGGGTAACGTTTATAGACTATATACAACAAGAAATATGAAATATGTACAATCTAAATTTTACAACTTTTTTAAAAATTTAAAGTGTGCTCAACTGCTAATGGAGGTTCCGGTGATGGAGTAAATAATGAGTAGGCGCTCAGAAAAGGCAATTCAACTGAGAATGGAAGCGATTACATCTGCCTCCTTTCCTGCTAGGAGGAAACCAGCGTCTGTTACGGTACCTGGTGTGCAGAAGGTGCTAAATTCATACCTGACGAATGACTAAATGAATACATATATGAAGACAAGAGAAAGAGCCAAGTCCACAACATCCACGCCCAGCAAAGGGATAGCTGGGAGGTTGTTGGATTGGGAACAGAAGAAACAGAGGAGTCTGGGTTTGGAGAAGTTCAGGGTCTGGAAGAGGTGAGAGAGGATTTGGAGGCGCGTGATCACCTGCGACGTCGGGCGGGGACAGGCCAGGATAGTAGTGCTGCCACAGTCCCTGCAGGAAGGCGACGCCGCTGTCCATGCAGCGGTGCTTGGAGCTGGTGATCAGCCTTAGGCGGCCGTAGTTCTCATGGGTGAAGAGGGCCGGGAAGAGTGAAGCCAGACGCAGCGCCAGTTGTCGCATGTCCTGCCGTCCCTTCTCCACCAGCTGTCCGTCCATCCAGTCCGCGTACCACAGCGGCCAGTCGGCAAGTGCGGCGCCCAGGCCGCGAGACTCCGCACTGCCCGGCCTTTTATCCTTCGGCCCGCGGGCCTGCAGCAGCCCGTACAGCTGCCTCAGCTTGTTGATCTGTTTGGCCGTAGGGTAGCGAGTACCGTGGCGGATGAGGGCGACCAGCTGCACTGGGGTGCAGCTCCCGGCCAGCAGTTCCGGGTCCCGCCGCGGCGTCTCGGGGTCCAACAGCAGTCCGGGGTTGACATCCTCGTAGCGAGTCTTGGTGCCGAAGTAGGGGCTGAGCGCTGTGGTCCTCAGGTCCCCGCGCTCCGGGAGCGAGCAGCGCGCAAGCGTCGAGAGCAGGGCCGCAGCCAGGGCAGCGGTGGGCGCTACGGAGGCCCTCAGGAGGCCTCGGGTACCACAGAGCATCGCACTCGCGGGGCGGCCCGCCGAAGGGACGCGCTGGCCAGGGAAGACCAACTTCCGGCTCAGGCTGGCAGGGGCGGGGCTATCCGAGGGAATTTCCGGTTTGCGCCCCTCAGGGGGCGCGGTGCTTATCCCTGCTGCTAAGGCTGCCGGGAAGTGTGTGGAGCCCGCGAGGAAGCTGTGAGAAACTGCGTAGATCTGTGGCGCAGATGGAGCCGTTGGAAAGCCCCACGGGCCTTAGGATGCCTTTGGCAAAAAGTGGGGCCGGAGTCTACCAGCGGTAGCGTGGGCGAGTTTCCTTTAAGCCGGCGTCCTACGCACTGACTTCAAAAACTGCCCAGCTTGTGATTTCCCAGACTGCTAATGAGTCCCAGACCAATCCTTGATCTCCAAGGCTGTAAAACCGGTCCTCTTGTAAAAGACGAGTTCTTGCTCGTCGCCTTAGCTCCGTTCTACTGTTTTTCAGAATGTCCTCGCTGAACTAATTGCAACCCGCTGGTCCTCGCTTGGGCCTTCTGAAGCCCAAAGTTTTCCTGTTGTTACAGTTTGAACGTAAGTGGGACACAACGAAGTGCAGACCTTGAGGAGGGGCTTAGGTGCCTACAATTTTAAGTTCTGAATCTTTGGATTTATTTTGATCTGGGATATCAGAGCTGACAGCACCCACAAAATTCTGTGTGTTGATCTTGAAGCTTTGGAGCAGCAATCTTATTTGGCCACATTGAGTCATGGCTCAACAGATTACTTGATTAATAAGCATGAGCTCATCTCCGTGTCAAACAAACACGCTATTTGCCACCACTCAACAGCCATACTCTTTGCTCAAGTGGTTATTACTCAAATCAGCAGCTGAGTTTTTCTAGGTTATTGCGTAGACTCTTTGACCCAAATACATAAATCTGAACAATACCTGGGATTCTCCACCAGTGACGCCAATAGTACTGTGCTGCCATAGTGTGTAGGCAGCACTTTTTTTTTTATTCATTCACCTGCTGATAGATTTACAGGGCTCTTCCAAGTTTTAGCTATTATGAATTGTGCACCTATAAAAATGAGTATGCATGAATTACTGCAATACAGCATCCTTAACTCTTGTAGGAATATAAGAAGGAAATAGCTAGATCAAATGGAATTTCTAGTTTTTGTTTTTTTAAGGAATGTTTTTTTAAGGATTGTTTTTAAGGAATCTCCATTCTGTTTTCCATAGTGGTCATACTAGTTTAAATACCCACCAACAGTGTTAGTGGGTTACTTTTCCTCTGCAGGCTTGTAGCACTTGTTATTTGATATCTTGATGGTGGAGTAAGATGGAGTCTCAGTATTGTTTTAATTTGCATTTGTCGAATGGCCAGTGATGTTAACATTTCTTCATGTATTGGTAGGTCATTTGGAATTTTGTAAAGTGTCTATCCAATTCATTTGCTCATTTTTTGATTCTTTTATGAGGGGCAGTTTTTTTGAGTTCTTAAGCTATAATATTAAGTGAATAAATCAAACACAAATTTAAATATCACTCGATTTCTCTTACATGAGAATAATTTAAATTAGAGCTTTTTTTTTGTAAATTTATTTCCTAAGTTTCTCACATGATTAAGGCTGCTAAAGGAATTCTGACCATCTGAAAAGAACCAAGGATGTATTTTGCAATTCCAAAGTCACTTCTTAAGAAAATTGTCAATGAATTCATAATGACCATAGTTTCCTGAACTCCCTTGTGTGCATAAACAAGATAACCAAATCCACAATATACTTCCTAACCCTACACTTTAAAGGCTGATGTGCTTAGTACATACTGGATCAGAGAAGCCAGATGGGGCATGTTTACGATAGCTGTACTGTAGCTATAGATTAACTAATTTTGTGCCTTTTCAGCTTCCACAAGTTCCATAAAAGTGAATACATAAATGTAAAAATAAGATTATTAAAGAAGATAGCTTTCTGGTGAAGATACAATACAGAAAAGGAAAAGGAAAAGGAAAAGAAAACATAGTGGCATAAATTAGACTTCCTGGTTGTTTTTTTTTTTAACTTTCTGTTTTTCAAATCCAGCTTCATTGTTTACTATCTGCAAGATCTTAAGCAAGTTAATTTTTTTTACCTATAAAATGGGAATACTAACATCTATATGATAGAAATATTGAGAACATTGAATGAGAAATTTATATAAAAACTTTCTATAGTCTCTTAGTAAATACCAAGTTAATACTCAAGTAAATACCACTTACTTTTAACCAAATTTAAGTTTCTTATTATCACTACTCTCTTAATGAAGTAAACTGAAAAATGATTTTTTTTCCGAGAGACCTCTTCTCTCACCACTGCATTAGACAGCTAACTTTATGCCTATGCCAAGGAAGCTTTAGATCTACTGTCTTAGTACTCTTCGGTTATATCATTTCTGTTCTAAATATGCTAGTTATTTATTTAGTACTTATTTGCTTTCATTGCAGTAATAAAGGCTACAGAACACTATGTTTCGATGGGGCTGGGGTTATCCATGTTTCAATAGCAGTCTCTTCATCCTTGCTGGAATGTAGAGCTTATGATCTAAGCAGTGTAACACACCTTTGCTCCAAAGCAAACATCCGATTGCCAATAGCCAGGTTGTTCCTCAGCATAGTAGAGCGACGACGTTGAATTGCATAATATGGCTTCAGCTGATGTAAGATGTTAGGTCTGAGAAGAGGGGGAGAGAGGGGAAGGAGTGGTGGAAGGAAGGAATGGAGTGGGGTGGAAAGAGTGGAGTGGCAGGAGTGGAAGGAAGGAATGGAGTGGAGTGGAGTGGACGGCCGTGAAAGGAGTGGGCGGCAGTGGCTGCAAAGATGAGAAGTATAAAATATAAGTCACCTTTATTTCGGGAATGCAGGGAGAGACCACCACCACCCCCCCCCCACCCCCCAGCGCAGCATCTCCACCCCGGGGCCAGCTGTCTCTCTCTGGAACATACTCTCAGGCTCTCTCTCTAACACATGGAGTAAGGCCCATAAGTAGCCTCTGTCTGGGTGGACCCCAAGGGGCATTAGGGATGCACAGGTAGCCCATTGGCACACGTTTGGCACCAGAAGCAGGTTCTTAGGGATGGGGGTATACGGTTACAGGTAAATCTCTAAGGGGCGGGGGAGGCAGGAGCTCTAATTTGGCTGAGGCTTCTCCTGGTTAAAGTGTCCTGTCTGGGCCAGCAACTCTTTCAAGGAGCTTCACTGAACCACACAAAACCAGATAGGTGACCTGTTGTTTTATATTCTTCATCATACTCAAGAAAGATAGAAAAAATAAGATAGGTAAAAAGGAAATATTATATTTGTAATACGAAAATTGTACTTTAAGAAAAACTGCAGCTTTACTCCTGCCTTGCAAGCAGGCAGTTGTGAGTTGGATCCCTGGTACCGATAAAAAGGAAAAAGACAAAAAAAAAAAAGAAAAACTGCAGCTTTATGACATAAAATATGAAACATTTTTTTGTTCCAGAAAAGATTGCTAAGGGCTATCTACAACAAGCCCCTGAAGTAGGCTCTAGGCCTATGCCTTTCACTTGCAAATTGCACTCCTTTCTACCCAGCTCCATTCTCAGAACAGTGCCCTATTAAGAGGACATATACAAAAGCACATATCAGCATTAAGCCCAGCAAATGCTTTGCATTTCACCAGATGGTCAAACCCTGTAGATTCTAGAGTATACATCCTAGATAACGCATTGGAACAACCTCCAGCCTTTATAAACATGCCCAGCTCAAGATCACAAAGTGCCTTTTTCCTCTTGAGGGTCTGCACTCCATTTTTTTCCACATGTACTTTCAAAAGTCTGCCTTAATTAATTACTGATGGATCTTGAATATCCTTTTTCTCTGACAGGCGTCAGCAAGCCTACAGTCATCCCCATGGGTTGAGTGAGCCAAGGTCCCCCATCTCTGCTTTGGGGACCTCCTTGGACCCTATCTGGTGACATTTCCTTGATGAGCCAGTGGCAGAAGGTAAGCCAGGCCTAGATTATGACTTTGGCAAGTTTTACATTTTTTTCTTCTTCACTTCCCCAACCTTTTGTCCTCTGATGCACTGCCTCTCTCTCTCCCTCACTCTGCCACCCACTTCCCTGCCTCCTCTGGATCTTTCTTTAGTTCCTTTTGTAAACTTTTGCAGCTTCAGGGAAGATCAGGCATGTTCCAGGTTGTATGGCTGTAGACTGTAGCTTCAGGTTTTTCCTTTTCAGTAGTCACAGGCTCCTGATCCCCTAGATATGAAATACTTGCCCTCTCTACAAGAAATGGGAAGAGGTGCAGAATGTACACCCTAGAATAGTAGCCTCATTAGACATCCCCTCAGGTCGACACACGCTGCTCCTGGATCAAATGGAACTAAACTTTGTAAATTATCTGGAGCTAGTCACTAAAAAATCTTTAGGTCTACAAAGTAGAAGCAGGGTCCCAGGTTCTATACTCTACAATAATTAGAGTTTTAATGGTCCAATGTTCATAAAAAACATAGATATCTTTATATTAAATTTTTCTTTGTCCAATGTTATAACTAACGTAAAGAAAGCTAGATTTATTAACAAAACAGAGAGGAACGTATGTACTTGTACACTAGCATCTCAAGACAAATAGAACTTAGAGAGAGCTCACCATTATTCTAATTTTAGTTTCTGTTTCCTGCTTGTTTAACGTGCTTGTAAGATTATATCTTGTAGACTTTTCTAGCTTCCAGTTAGGCTGATGCTCACGTGTACGATTATTACAAAAAATATTGTGTATATATTCCTGAAAACTCTGTAAATGTGTCGTCTGTATTACAAGACCTCTGTTCACAAATTAATGTGATGTCAGATTTAATGGCAAGCTGATAACAACGCTATCCTTCTAGGTCTGGTCTTTTAAAGGTCAGTCAGGATGAGACTTTTAGTTCTTGGCTGGGCAGGGTCAATGCTCTTTTTTCTGTGTGAAGTACCTATAAGAATATGGAACTTTGGTGCTTCTATAGCTCTTAAAAATAACAGTTTGAAGTTTGGGACTGGTGATTAGGGTAGAAAAAAATAAACATTGATAATAAGATAATGAAAATTATAATAATTAAATTGTACTTTTAGGAGAAACTCCAGATTCAGGACCCAAAGTTATTCAAGCTTGTTTTCTCTTCAAGGAAATAATTCCTAAGGGCCTTAAAGACAAAAAAAAAAAAAAAAAAAAAAAAACCAAAAAACCTTGGGTACTAGACTCTGGACCTGTGCCTTTCACCTGTAAATGGTGCTCCTCTACCAGCCTCCATCCTCAGGATAATATGCACTATTAAAAGGATAGCATATATCAGATTTTTTTTTTGTCTTTTTTTTTTTTTTATCGGTACCAGGGATCGAACTCACGACTGCCTGCTTGCAAGGCAGGTGCTTATGCCGCTGAGTTAAATCCCCAGCACCCATATCTCAGATTTAAACACGGTAAATGTTTTGCATTTTAACATAACCCACCAAATCAGCAAAATGATATGGATTTTAGAATATACATTCTAGATAACCCATCATAGGGATACCCCCAAACCTCCAACAATATATTCCACTTAAGGGCCTGCAGTCTTATTTCTAAGTGTGTACTTTTAGATTTCTGTCCCATAAATCCCATTGTGCTTCTCACTGATACATCTGGAAACTTCATTCTCTGTGTTGAAAGTTAGCAAAACTTTAACCCACTCACTGGGTGAGGTGAGTCAGTTTCCCATCTCTGCTTTAAACCTGTTTGGAGCCTGTCTAGTGATAAGATCTAACCAGCAGAGTTATTTTGTTTTCACAGGGCTCTTCGGGTGTCTTAGGACACTGAGGTTGAACTTTTTCTTTTCCATCAAAAGTTGTTGTGAATCATCTAAAGAACTATGTGAAATATAGTATAAATATAAAATTATGAGGTTTCGGTTGCTGAAATTCTTTATATTCTTTGCTACTCTCACATAATAGCTATGTACTTTCTAGTCTTGTTCTAAAGTGATTTACCTGCACAAATTGACATTGTCTTTTAGCAATATAATTTCCTCTAGAATTCCCTTTAATCCATAGTATATTGTTATCCTATCGCAAAGATAAATAATGTTTCCAAATCCTGTTTTTTTTTTAAAAAAAAAACCAAACTTTTTTATTTTAAGAACAATCATAAATGATTACAATTATTTTAGCATCTTTTTCTCTGAAATGTTAGTTTTTCAAAATTGGAAAATTTCTTCAAGCCATTAGCTCATTAGAACAATTGGCTAGCTTACTTTATTTATTTATTTATCTATTTATTTATTTTAAAGAGGATAAAACCAAGGGGGGAAAAAAAACAGAATAAAGCCAATCAAAACAAACCAGTATAAGTGATACAGGACTTCAAAACCTTACGAAATTAACAATAGATGCCATAATGCCTTTTGTTGTCTTCAAAATAGCAGCAGATACCTGCGAACATAGTAAAAATCAAACAGAACAGAATAGAAGAGAAACAATAAGAGCAAAACAGTGAATGCAATAAAGGGCTTCAACACAAGACAATAGTAAATCCAAAATGCCTATCAAAATGTCTTGCTATCTTTGAAATCACTGCTCATGCTATCAGATTTAACATAATCAAACAAAACAAAAGAGAATAAACGCAACCCAACAAAACAATGAAAATGATATGGATTTCAGACAGGGATTGCGTCCTGGTGAGGCCTGGTTTTCTCTCTCAGTAGCCCAGGAATTGTGCTGACTCATAGAGAGGGTTGGGTCTGGCTGTCCCCATCTCAGGCAGCAGCCTAAGCATGGCTTCTTTTCTAGGCAGGGATCACCTCTTGGTAATGCCTGGTTCTTTCCCCCAACTGTCCACAAATGGTGCTGACTCACAGAGAGAGGCTTGGGTATTGCTGTCCCCACATCTGGGAGCAACCCACATTTATTTACTTATTGTATTAGTTTTTGGTTTTGGTGATCAGGGTATTGTCTTGAAGTTCAGGCTGGTCTCAGACTCACAGACTACCCCAGGCTGGTGTCAAATTACAGCAACAATTCCTACCTTGGCCTCCCAAGTGCTGGAATTACAAGTTTCTGCCAACACACCTGGACTGATTAGCTTACTTTATAACCATCAGTATCACTTTATCTTTCCAAAGAATGGAGATCTTATAGCAGGAAGGCAGTTTTTTACTTAGTCCATTAATGTCAATTCCTGTTTTCCAGTCTATGCAGAAACCAATCTTTCTTTTTTTATTCAATTTTGTTGTGACATAAGCACATCTTTTTTGAATTGAGTTACTTATCTATATTATATGTAAGTATTAAAAACCAAACAAATACCTATGCCAGAAAACCAGTGTAAGGCCCCTTGGTTTCACATGCTTTGTTGGAACCACTGTAATTATCAGGAAAGTTTAGAATCTGATGGAAACAAACTAAGGGTTCCACAAACCATCCCCTTTATTATCCTGCCTCATCTTTCCTGTCTTACTTCCTATGAGCTGGCTTGTCTGATTCTGTATTCCAAGAGATAAGCAGGTAATTCATGGGTTAATACTTTAGACACAGAAACCATGGTGAAAATATTGTCCACTGTCATTAAGTAAACTGTCAGCAACTATTCATTGAAAGTGTGTGTGAATTATTTGTTGAACAGGTGTATAAGAACAAATGGAAATGGAAACAGGCAATATAGGAAGCTAAAAGATGGGAATAATGTTTTGCAGATATGCAGTATAATTATCTCATTTTATGTTTCCAGATATCTTATGCTTATTTCTGAACAATATATCATATTGCAGCTGTAGAAGTAGAGACAGTGTTTAGATGCTTCACCTAAAGTTATCGAACACATATTTAATGATACCAGTTTCCGAACGTGATCAGTAGAAGCAAGGTCATTCATGTATTTCTTTTCCTCATAACTAATATGAGGCTGACAAGTGAACGGTAACTTCCAAAGATGTCACTTTTGGTTGGGGCAAAAAGATAGATTTGTGCTTACTATTGGATAACCACCAGCAGTTATTCTACACTTTTTTTGAGAATCATGGTGTTGTTATTTACATTTTAAGAAAGTCATTTTATCATCTCCTGAGAAGTAAATATTGATTATTGTAAATCAGTCTTGATACTTATGTTTTTCTTACCAATTTTGGCTTAAGAAAGAGCTTATAACTCAATTCTAGCCAGCAAAATATGAGGGATGAGCTGGAAGCAGTGGTACCTTCCTGTAATTTCACCACTCTGGGGCTTAAGGCAGGAGATCACATGTCTGAGCCCAGCCTAGGCAGTGAGACTCTATCTCAAAAATAAAATGTAAAATAAAACATTGAGATGTAACTCAGTTCAAAGGCCCTGTTTTCTACCTCCAGGATGGGATGGGGGTGGAGAGAGCGAGAGAGAAAATACAAGGTACAGTTTGCTGGAGAATTTCTGGAGAAGTTTTGGCTTTTTTTAACTTTTTTTTTTGTTGTTGTTGTTGTTCTTGGAAAGAGGATACTGGGATAATGAATAACAAGCACTTAAAACACTTAGCAGGGTCTTTGGATTAGAGAGTCCGTTGAATTGAAAGAACAATGAAATTGGGACAGAAAATAATCTGGAAGGAAAAGAGATGTCATTTAGAGCATAAAATGATTAAGCATTTTGAAGGTGGCACAGTAACTTTTATTGATTAAATGAAGTACTTTAGATATGAAACTAAGAAAGTCTTAATCAGGAAAGGTAATCAATCATTTAAAAGTAAATACGTAAAAGGAATGAGTGGCTACGAAGTCCTCCATACTTCTGCTCCTAGACTTACACCTCACCAGGTCCTGACCTTCCATTACTCTGTGCATCCCTCCTCCCCGTCCCTAAAAGCTCTCAGCTCACTCATCAGTTTCTCCATTCCTTTCTTAAAATAAATGAAGACATTTTGCTTTTAATGCAGAATCTGCCTCTCTCCCCTCCCACACACACTCACACCCCTCACAAAAAAGAAAAATTATATGACGTTTTTCAACAGATAGTGGTGCCCTCATTTGGGGTAAAGGAATCTGACCACTGTCATCTTGGTCTGAGCAGATATCACTGTTAATTCTTTCCCCCTACTGTGTTGTTACACTTGCTGCAGATGTGTAGTCACAGGTTAATAAGGCCCAGTAAGCACAGCTATACCCTGTAATTCCCAATCATTGTTCAGCCCTGCTTTTGACAAACAACATGCAACTCCTTGTATGGGCCCAATGCCTATCCCAAGGGAGATAACTACAACTTCCTTGTGCTGAACTCTCCACCTGGGAAGTCCCTTTGTTACTTTTTCCGTCCAGGGTGCTCCTTTTTTATGTTCGTGACCCTATGAAAACCTTATAGCCCACATGAGAGTTAGCTGGTCTGGTCTCCAGCTCCAGAGCAGTCCCTCTCAGATTTGTTCAAAAATAAACCTGTCCTGTTGAGATTGTACCTCTGTTTTCATTTCTTTTGCCTAACATGGGGGACCTTAGAGGATGTTCTACATTGCAGAAATTCCACTGCATGGCTGGCCCTTAGAGAAGAAGTTGAAAATGCATGTGATGCAGTAATCCCAGTGACCAAGGTTACTGCAGCAGGAGTTTGCCACACTAATAAATTTCTGGAAGCTACTGGCCACCACTTTGAGTACCTCTTGTAACTGTAGAGGCCGAAGATAATTTGTATTATTCTCATGATGTCTCAACAAATTTAGTATTAAAATATTTATATTTCTTTTTTAAAAAAGTATATATATATTTGTTTTTGCAGACTCGGTAGATGTTCTTAGTGATTTGGAAACATGAAAGAGATTGACATCAGAGTGATGCCAATAAACTTAAATATAATCTTTAAAACCTTTGCTCTTAAGACACACACAAGGAAGAGACAACTACTGTGACCATCAGTTATGGTTTATTGAGCGTAGGAGGCATCAAGAGTTTGAAGGTAGGCAGGTGGGATGGTGATGGATGCAATCTGGGTCAGCATGCAGGCAGGCAAGGGAAAGTATGAAGCTTGACAGAAATGCAAAATGAAAATCAAAGAAACTGGGCATAATGGTGCACATCTGTAATCCAAGCACCTGGGAGGCTAAGGCTGGAGGATTGCATGGGAAAATAAAAGCCAGCCTAGGCTGCACAGTGAGTTCAAGATCTTACTACAGTAGTAAGATCTTGTCTCAAAAAAAGAGAACTTTTCAAAATGTATGCTTAAAATCCAATCTAGAAAACACTTAGAGGGGAATTGTGGGACCCACATATAGATGTGATGTCGCTTAGATCCATGCACGCTCTTTTCTCTAGCAGAAAAATCAGCATTCATAGGATATCACAGGATTCTCACTATGTGTGTTCTCTGTGGTCTGATACGTCTTCTGATGACACAATGATCTAAAATGAGTGAGTTTATTTCAAGTTTTCCTGTAAATACCCAAGAGGTCCCTGGTGTTGTTCTCTTTCAGTCTCCCTCAAATCCTGCAAGCTGGAAAAACAGAGTGGTTGCAGTTTTCAATCTAGAGTGGTCACTATAAATAAACAATTGTTTTTTCTAAGCATTGCCATAGGAATATCATAATATCCTACTGTACATTATATGAATGATATTCATAAATATTAAAAAACAAGCCTAACAAACAGGCTTTTCTTTGATGACTCGAGAAACACATTGTTACATTTTTGGCACTTGAGGAAAAAAATTACTGAATATTTTATACTCAGTTGAGTTTGAAGTCATAATCAGGGAGGAAATAAGGATTACAACCAGAAAAAATAAAATAAAATAGAAGAACATGGAGAGAATCAATAAAATAAAAAGTTTATTGTTCGAAAAACTCAACAGAGTTGATAATCCTTTAGCTAGATTAAGAGAGAAAAATATTCAAATACTAAAACAATAAAAGGGGGAACTACTGTGCAGTCATAAAAGTCTTCTAAGAAAATACTACGAACAGCTATATGTCACCAAGTGGGATAACTCAGATAAAAAGGATAAATTCATAGAAATCTACAAACTAATTTAAGATGAAAGAGAAAAATAACAAGTAAGGAGATTTGACTCACCAGTCAAAAACTTCCCAACAAAGAAAAAACAGGGCCAAATGACTTCTTCAGTGATTTCTAACAAATACTAAAAGAATTAACGTTTATCCTTCTCAAATTTTTTTCAGAAGAAGCTAGAACACTTTCTTACTCGCCTATGAAACCAGCATTATCCTAATAACAAAAGCAGACAAAGACATGAGAAGAAAACTATAAACCAATACTCCTTATGAACATAAATGCAAAAATCATCACCAAAATGCTGAAAAATTAAGTTCAGAAGCATACTTTAAAATGCGCTATATACCATGATCAAGTAGGACTTATCCCAAAATTGAAACTGTGGTTCAACACATGAAAATCAGTTGATTTAATACAGTATGTTGATAGAAGAAAAATATGATAACCTTGATATCAAAAAAGCAAGAAATAAGAACTCAATTCTAAGGTAAAAGTGTTTAAATAGACATTCCTCTTTAAAAAATATGTAAATGATCAATAAATGCATGAAAAATTCTAATCAAAACCACAAGAAAGTATCACTCATACCTAACAGCAGCACTGTTATCAAAAGAAAAAAACTAATATTAGTGAAGACATGAGAAAATAAAAGCCCTAGTTAAATGGTACAGTCATTGTGAAATGCAATTTGGTGATTCCTCAGAAAGTTAAACATATTTATCACCCAGTAAGTCCATTGTTTGTTATATATTCCCAAATAGTAAACAACAATTTAAACAGATACCAGTGTTTACAAAAGCATTATTCACAGGAGCTAAAAAGGCAGAAACAACCCAAGTATTCATCAGCAGATAAATGGGTAGACAAAAAGTGGTATATACATACATTAGAATATTATTCAGCCGTAAAAAACCTGATACATGCTATAACACAGATGAACCTTGAAAATATTGTGCCATGTGAAATAAGCCAGGCACAAAGGACAAATAATATAGGGTATGACTTATATGAAGTACTTAGAATAGGTAAATTCATACTAACAGTAGATTAGAGGGTACCATGGGCTGGGAGGAGGGAGAAATTGGTGCAGGTGAAGGATGCCAGCATTTAAAAATAAATGAAGGCTTTCTTGATTGTTAATGTTTGGACTGAAGGCTACAGTAGGATTTTGGCCCTCAGATGAAACTGAGGTGATATGGTATCTGTTCTTGGCATAAGCAATAACTTGAATAACCAAGGTTAAACAAAATATTAAGTGTCACAGGACAGAGGAGGGGCAGGAAATGTGAAGTGATAAGGGTTAGTCTGCTCAGCCTGGCTGTGTTAGATAGCGTAATACAGCAGAGTAACCCAAGGCACATTGCTGAGGTAGGAAGTTTCGTTTCACTCATCTCGCCTCTTTTTGGCTCTGCTCTTTCTAGAGGCTCCAGCCTTTCCTTACTCCCTTAAACTTCACAACTTATAAATTAACGACAGGAAGGCCCCTGTGTTGGGGTGACAAGGCTGCGTAGGGTTAAGGATGGTTTTATTCAGGGATAAGTGAATTTGTGTTGGAGAAAGAAACTAAGTAGATGGTAAGTTCTATCACCCATAAATGGGTGGAACTGTGATGTCCCCTGGGTTGTTTTTGCTTCCCTGTTGTGATGACAAACCTGACTTTCATAATTTAAAAAAACTCAGCAAAATATACATAAGCAAATAACAAAAAGAATGTGTTAATTTTTTTCCTAGCATTTCAGTCTTTTTCTTTCTAATTCTCTTCAGTGAGTCCTGCTTCGATTGTTTGGCAGTGTTTTTTTAAACTATTTTAAAACTGTTGTGAATTGATCAAAGTTTAATGTTTCCCATTACTATGGCTTTACGGTGGGAGGTTGAAGAAGCAAGAATTTTTTCAATTTTTTTAATTGATCAAAAATAGAAATTCAAAGTCTTTACTTCTAGGGCTACCACAGATCACCCATGGAACACACTGGACAGGCTCCAAATGTCCACCTCTGCCACTGAATGCGTACTGAACCTTGTCCGCTGGTACTATGCAGGAGCTATATGGAAGTGTATGGAGTACACGTGTAGGACATTTGCTCAAAGAGAAGTTACGAGTTCTGTGCCCCTTGTCACAGTGACTCTAGATTCCTATTGGGTGTATCATAAACAAAGCCTTTCTTCAGGCCACTTTCTCCGAGCGCACCCCACTACAGACTTTTTACATTCTTGTGCATTATACAAATATACCATGAAGTATATCACGAGGTAATGAACATTTCAACTGCCTAAAACTTTAAATATTAGCCCAATACTGACTTATGGTCCCCTTCCTCTCTCTTTAAAGTCAAAATTCTCACCCCTAATATTTCTTTAAATGTCACATGTCTCTGCTTATGGACAAGAAAAGCCCTCTGCTTTTAAGGGTTCATGTAATTATATTGGGTCCACAAAAATAATTCAATATAATTTTCCCCATTTCAGATCTTTAATCTTAATCCTTTTTCCGTGTAAGGAAATATACCCATAGGCTCCAAGGGTTGAGACATAGACATTGTTGGGGAGGCCATCGTTCTGTCCACCACACTATGTGTACAAAAATAAACTGTAACTCTATCATAGAATTGAATATAAAGCTGAGTGTGTTGGCACGAGCCTATGATTCCAGCTACTTGGGAGGCTGAGGCAAAAAATCATGCCTGAGCAACTTAGCAAGACTCCAGCTCAAAAAAAAAAAAAAAAACCAAATATAAAACCAAAAATTATAAATTTCTCAAATATATAGAATAAAATAATTGAGTCTTAAATAAATTAAGTCTTAAATAAAGCTTAAATTGGCTATATATAGCTGCAATAAAGTTACTCTTTTTTTCCTTTAATAACTTAAGAGTCTCTTCTGAGGAGACAAGACTATGCAAGATATTCTGGGTCTCTTTACACTTTTGGTTACTATCTTTGGCACCCATAAGTAATTCTTTGCTCATTTGTTTGCTTTTGTTTTCTGAGACACTGTCTCACTTTGTAGTGCAGATTGGCTCTGAACTCGTTATGTAGCCTAAGATTGCCTTAAACTCTTGGCAGTCCTCCTGCCTCAGCCTCCTGAGCATAAGTCATTCTTCAATGCAACAAATATTATTGTATGTTTTTCCCTAAAGGTGATTTTTAGTTTGCATTATATATTCTATGCTTAGTGACTGAAATTCTATCATACGTAAGAGCTTCATTTCTCCCTCATGTATTTATTTGTTCAGTTAGGTATTTTTGTCAATTTGAACTCATAGACTCAATGAACTATGTATCTTGTTAATGTAATTATTTTATTGTCCAAACTGCCCCAGATTTGGGCATTTGGAACTCCTCTAAGTTGGCTCCTGTGTCTCTTAGACAGGGTCCCCATCCTTCTGTGAATATTCCTTCACCTGACACAAGAATATATTTCAAACCCATATTCTTGCTGCCTCAGGCTTCCTGGCATTAGCATTTTGCCAGGATCTGTTGAAACCATTTGTATGTAATAGGGGTGGAGGTGGGTGTGTATTTTCTGCCTTTCCCCATTTTTCTACTGAGTATTTTGTCCTGTCCTCCCCCCACCTCCAATAGGCTCTATTTAAATTGCCCAGACTGGCTTCAAACTGATGATCCTCCTGCCTCAAGTGGTTGGGACTACTGACATGTGACACTGTGCCCAGCCATCTCTCAATTCTTTTTTTTTTTTTTTTTTTTTTTTTTTTTGTCTTTTTCATTTTTTTATCGGTACCAGGGATCGAACTCACGACTGCCTGCTTGCAAGGCAGGTGTTTATGCCGCTGAGCTAAATCCCCAGCCCCCATCTCTCAATTCTTAAGAGTTATTTTTATACATTGAATATACCAGCTCTCTTATCGTGATATATTGAAGATATTTCCTGCCAGCTTATCAATTGTTTATGATGTTTGTTCTATGCAATTTTCTTTTTTTTTCCATGCAATTTTCTTACATTGCTAGTTTCATTAGTCTTGATCACTTGTTGAATTTTATTAATAACCTTTGCCAACTGCTAATTCTTCCAAAGACTAACAAAGTATTCTACTAATTAAACTTTACCAAGTTTATTGTTTGTTGTAGTAAGAGAGTTGCTCTCTTCACAGGATCTTGAGACTATCTCAGAATAGGGAGTTAAGGGGGAATTATTTGTAAGGCTTGAGGGTTCTAGCTTTAAAATAGGTTGTTCATTGTGCAGCTTAGGGACCTGGTTGGGACTGGACAAACTTCAGAACGGCACAAAGTTTAAGATTATTGGGTCTGGTGAACCAAACTCAAGGGGCAATCACTTGAAAAACCTAGTTGAATAATGAATTATTCTGATAAAGGGACTGTTTATTCTGATGAGGCTACCTGACTAGTTTCCATTTATAAAAAGATTTTCAGAAAGTTCCCTAAATCAGAAATAATTCTTAAATTTTTGTAATTTTACCTCAGTAGGTAAAAATTTATTGGAATGGTAATGTCAAGCTGTGAGGCTTTAGGTAGTTTCAGTTCTTATATTCTTCATTCAATTCATCGCTTCTTTTCAAGCCATCTCTTTCTATTTTGATATGTAAGCTCTGGTTCTGCATTCTTTTGACATTCCTTTCCTATAACAGGGCACATGGAGGATATATTTATAAGTGTATGAACATTAAATCCTTTCTTCCGCTCTTGCATATAAATGATAATGAATTTCACTTCAGATTCTTGGATCATGGAGCTTTTCTCTCAAATGCCTGTAAGCATTGTTGCACTATCATGTAGCTTCCAGTGTTGCAGATTGGAAGTCTTATGCTAATGTGATTTTTTTCTTTTTTTAAAAACGTGGCCACAAATTTCCTACTGATGGTAATTATAAATTGTCTATGGGCTTCTTTCCATTTATTTTCTGCACAAATTTTAAAATTTCCCCATGTTCTTCTGGATAGTTCTGATGATAATTCTTATATTTTCAATAGTTGCTATGTGCAATTAACAATTATGTGACTATTGGTATGACTCAATTTAAAAACATTTCTAATGTCCTAGAAAAAGATCTTTCGTGCCCAACATTCCTTGTTTCCTCCTCTAGCCTCAGTTACTCAGTAATCACATTATATCTCTGTGGATTTGTTAAAACCATTTGCGTGTGTGCGTGCGTGTGTGTGTGTGTGTGTGTGTGTGTGTGCGCGTGCAAGTGCTCACGTGTACATGTATGTGAATGCTATTCCAGAGTACTGGTTTAAAAACATCAACAGAAGATTCTTTCTATTACTGAAACTTTGAAACCAGTGTGTAATACAATAACTAAATCTATTGAAAAGCTTATGAAAAATACTGTTTATCTTTGGAATTCAGAAATCTAGTAGGCTATAGATTCCTGGTTCACAGAAAACACATTTGCTCAAAAATTTCAAGAGTTCCTTAAATGCAGGAAAGTTTTATTTGATTATCTTACAATTGAAGATTTCTGTCCCTTTCTTTCCTACACAACATCTACCCTTTATTTTTAATTTTTAATTTATTACTTTTATTTCTTTTTATCTTATGTTGTAAGATATTTCCTTTATTATTCTTCCAAATAATGTTTTTCTGATAGTGTTTTTTCTTCAGGCTTTTCACTGGTAGTAGTGTAAAACAGTCTACCTCTCACAGGACTGCAGGGAGCAAGCAGGCAGATACGCTATGAATCTTCTGCATCAACTCAGTTCAGCAAGCTGCATCCTGCCCAGTGCTCATATGACTCCACCACAGACAGACCTGATTGCCTCCAGATTAGGGTTTTCTCAACACAAACACTCCATGCCTGTTCTAGGACATGTAGAGAATTTAGGACAGTGCTCAATAGACCCCTGGTTAATATAAAACTTAGCATCTTTTCTACCGATTTTCTCGTAAATAAATTCCTGTTCCTTCAATCTCACACTTTGCAGTTTCACACTCCTGAACTTGCTCTGAAGGAAACAGAGCAGGGGGCAGTTTTCCAGCCCTGTCTCTGAGGCATTTCCAAAAGTATCTGTGCGGCAAATGTTGAATGGGTTTTTATAGCAGCCTTTACTTTTCTGTAGCACTTATTACAGTCAGAAGTTAAGCTCCTTGAAGGCAGGGATTTTTATCAGTTTCAGTAATTATTATTTTGCCAATGCCTAGAACAATGCCTGACACATAATAGGACCTCAATAAACATAAGTCAGTAAATTTATGATTGTATATATATTTCTTTGCCATTAGATCAGTAATTCCACAGTCAGAGGGATCTTCCACACTCTTTACTTTGTATCTCCTGTGCCTAACATAATACCTGCCTCATAAAAATAGTCGCATAACATTTAATAAGCTAGTGACTGTTTGCATAAATCAAATAAAGTAAAATCCATGAAACTAAGATTCAAGTTAAAAAAAAAACTATTACATATTTTCTTTCAAGACCCCCTTGAACCTAGATGTGGTGGACATCTGTAATCTCAGTGCTCTGGGAGGTAGAAGGATCACAATTTTGAGGCCAGACTGAGCAATTTAGAGTTGTAGTTAAGACCCAATCTCAAAATAAAAAGTTAAAAAAAAAGAAGGACTGAAGATATAGCTCAGTGTGTCAGTCCCAGGTTCAGGTCTCAGAACTAAAAAAACAAAGACTCATTTGAAGAAAAACTTCACATAACCTTTTCATATCATGTCCTCTCAATTTATAGGACTGCTTATCTTAACAATGCATACTCAAAATACCCAGTTCAGTCTTATCTATACAGAGAATATCGCTTTCTTTCTTAGATAAAATAGGTAGGAATGTACATGTTTTTCTCTTCTTTCCTTTTTTTGTAAACTGGTGTTGGCTTTTAAACTTTTATTGATGATTTAAAATTTAAAAAAATAAAAATGCTAATGAGCAACAAGAAATATTACCAGTTATCAGAGACCGAAGCTGCCTGGAAGTACATAAAATTCAGCTCATGGAAAATGACACAATACGGTTAACTGGCATGTATATTTGGTTGATACATATTCCATGATCATAACTTTTCTAAAATTAAATGTGAATGATAACAATTTGGAACTTAATGCTAAGGCTGAGCCCCTTTTATCAAATTTGAGCTATAAAATTACTTACCACCTTTTATCTCACTGTTCTAACCCACTAAGGGCTTACTTTGTACAACTTATTTTCTTAATGGATCCTTCATGAAAAACATCACCCAAAATGTGTGCCATAAAAATGAGTGAAGCATA